ATTTACTGGTAGTTACTAGTAGTTGTCGGTATTTACTAGTAGTTACTGGTAGTTACTAGTAGTTTTCGGTAGTTGTCGGTAGTTACTAGTAGTTACTGGTAGTTGGTGGTATTTATTGGTAATTAGTTGTAGTTACTGGTAGTTAGTGGTAGTTATCGGTAGTTACTAGTAGTTGTCGGTAGTTACTAGTAGTTAGTAGTATTTACTGGTAGTTACTAGTAGTTGCTGGTAGTTACTAGTAGTTGGTGGTAGTTACTTGTAGTTTTCGGTAGTTACTGGTAGTTTTTAGTAGTTGTCGGTAGTTGCTTGTAGTTATCGGTAGTTACTAGTAGTTACTGGTAGTTACTAGTAGTTTCTAGTAGTTATCGGTAGTTAGTAGTAGTTACTGGTAGTTGGTGGTAGTTATTAGTAGTTACTGGTAGTTACTAGTAGTTGTTGGTATGTACTAGTAGTTACTAGTAGTTAATAGTAGTTCTTGGTATTTACTAGTAGTTAGTGGTGGTTATTAGTAGTTACTGGTAGTTACTAGTAGTTGTCGGTAGTTACTAGTAGTTGCTAGTAGTTGTCGGTAGTTACTGGTAGTTACTAGTAGTTGTCTGTAGTTCTAGTAGTTATCGGTAGTTACTAGTAGTTACTGGTAGTTGGTTGGTATTTATTGGTAGTTACTTGTAGTTAGTGGTAGTTATTAGTAGTTACTGGTAGTTACTAGTAGTTGTCTGTAGTTACTAGTAGTTACTGGTAGTTACTAGTAGTTGTTGTTGGTTTTACTAGTAGTTACTGGTAGTTACTAGTAGTTGTCGGTAGTTACTAGTAGTTGCTAGTAGTTGTCGGTAGTTACTGGTAGTTACTAGTAGTTGTCTGTAGTTACTAGTAGTTACTGGTAGTTACTAAGAGTTCCTAGTAGTTGTCGGTAGTTACTAGTAGTTACTGGTACTTACTAGTAGTTGTCGGTAGTTTTCAGTAGTTGCTAGTATTTACTGGTAGTTACTAATAGTTTTCGGTAGTTACTAGTAGTTACTAGTACTTGCTAGTAGTTGTCGGTAGTTACTAGTAGTTGCTAGTATTTACTGGTAGTTACTAGTAGTTGTCGGTAGTTACTAGTACTTGTCGGTAGTTACTAGTAGTTACCAGTAGTTATTAGTAGTTAATGGTAGTTATTAGTAGTTGTCGGTAGTTTCTAGTAGTTGCTAGTATTTACTGGTAGTTATTAGTACTTCCCGGTAGTTACTAGTAGTTACTGGTAGTTGGTGGTATTTATTGGTAATTAGTAGTAGTTACTAGTAGTTAGTGGTAGTTATCGGTAGTTACTAGTAGTTGTCGGTAGTTACTAGTAGTTACTAGTATTTACTGGTAGTTACTAGTAGTTATTGGTATTTACTGGTAGTTTCTGGTTGTTACTATTAGTTGCTGGTAGTTACTAGTAATATTAATAGTAATAAATTGCTTTATTTGCAGGGCCGCATAATTTTACAGTATTGCAAAAGCATGCATATGACAATCAAAATATAGAACAAACAGCACTAATAATGATCTAGAAATATTCAGTTACATTACTAACAATGAATCACGTATCTTCATACAGGAGGAAACAGACTTCATAACTAACTTATTTGCATGATGTTCCTTCGAATTCATTATCAGTTTTATGCTTTCTAGAGATGATTTCTTGTCAAAGTCAGGTATTATTCGATTGCTTTGATTAATAAAGGCCTGTCTCTGTACTGAGTATTTGTTACATTGAAAGAGGAAATGAATCTCATCTTCTACCTGATTTGAGTTACATAAGGGACATAATCTATTTTCTCTCGGCAAATGATCGATTTGGTATCGACCATGTTCAATCATAAGTTTGTGATTACTTATTTTAAATTTAACAAAATTCTTTCGTTCGTCATAATGTCTTAGCTGGTGGAGATAATCAGATGTAGAATACTCATCTTTAAAAGTTTTATAAAATTCTAGTTTTTTTGAATTTTGAAGGCTGTGCCGCCAAAAAGATAGATAATTCTCTCTCATTTCTGTGGTATATCGTCTAATTTTATCATTATCTAGAGATTCAGCATCTAAACTGGTTAGATTATATTGTTCAAATATATATGTTTATGAAATTGTAAAAATATCCTGAATTATTCATAGAATGTAGATTCTTTGACATAAGGAAAGACTGTTTGACTATAGAGTCATTATCTTTGTTGTTGAGGGAAACAAAATATTTCATAATTTTCTGATTTATCGGGATAAGCAGCGGCAATTTATCAAGTTCAGCTCTGCAAGCTATGTTAGAGGCCTTATTGTTAACCTCTAAGTAACGTTTACAGAATTTGAGGTGGATTTTTTCTATTGGGAGCTATCCCATTTTTTAAAATCTTGCTTGGTGTATATTCCCCATACCTCGCTGTTGTAACTCGAGATTGGGAATACCATGGTGTCAAAAATTTGGGATGCAGTATTAGGATTAAGTTTGTTAAGAATTGTCCGCTTCCGAATACTAGAAAACGCGTGAAAGGCCTTTTCTTTTAAGTGTTCGAGTGCAAGTGTAAAGTTTCCCGTTGGAGTTAAACGTGTACCTAAATAAGTGTATTCTTGGACAAATTCAATTGACTCACTGCCTATGTTGAATTTGATGTCAGTAGATTTTTTGGGGCTTTTCTAGAATATCATAATTTTTGTTTTCTTCGGATTAATGTTTGGCTTCCATTTGTCACAATACAAGGAAAGCGCATTGAAACAGTTCCGTAATCCAGTTTTCGATCTTGACAGAATAACTAAATCATCTGCGTTCAAAAGTGAATTTATTTTTTTTCCCATTTGGAAGAACTAATGGGTCCGATAAGGTGTTTTCGAATAAATGTGGTAGATTGTTTGAAAAGAGGTTAAATAAAAGAGGGCTTAAAATACAGCCTTGATGTACACCTCTGGAATATGAAAAAGGCTGTGTTTTGTTTTCACCGATTTTGATGGAACATGTCGAGTTGCAATAAAGGCTTTTCATGAGGTTGTACAAGTTTCCTCCTATATTCGTTTTTAGCAGCTTATAAAACAGTCCTTCGTGCCAAACAGAGTCAAACGCTTTGCTAGTAACTGGTAGTTAATAGTAGTTGTCGGTAGTTACCAGGAGTTGGTAGTAGTTATTGCTATTTACTAGTAGTTACTGGTAGTTACTAGTAGTTGCTGGTAGTTTCTAATAGTTGCCGGTAATTACTGATTCGAGTCGACTATTTCATTTGCTTAGACTATTTCTATTGACGCTGTTGAAGTGGAAGTCTAGAAATATAACAGAGCACTTAATGTCAGGTTCGGCGCGGAAAAACAGTTATATTTTTCCTCAAGTAATCGTGTTTCCCTTGTTGATTTCGTCTTGGTAAACATCAGGACTCTCGGCGTTCTCAATTCCTTAACTGTAGGTTCCGCCAGTGTGGCATTAAACCAATGTTCACACAAAGCAATCACTTTAAGTAGACTTTATTTGTGAAAGCTTTTCTTAAACTTAATATGCCTTTACGCAGAATAACAGGTTGGCTCATAAATTCCATTTAAAGTGACATGTATTTCAGTCTCAATATCGTAACTATTTTCCTGTAATTTTATTTCTGCTAATTTATAAAATCATCACTTAATGATGTGGCTGACATAGTCATTATCACATTGAAAACCTTGTAAACAGTAATATTCTCTAATGTGTTTGAAGTAAATATCCATTTCCTAATTGTGGAAGTCCTCTGTAAAACCAATGTTATATTAAAGGTTCTCTTTCCATAATTTGATGTAAGCGGTTTTAATTATCTAATTGTATGGCGGCTGCGTAGGTGGATTTTTCAAAAATCAAATTTTTTGATGTTGTATCAGCAATATTTAAAATTACCTTCTGAATATAAAGTGATTTTCATTTCTTCATATTGCTTCTAAGGTGTGATCATAATGACCTGTTAAGATTTGGTCTCAAAAGTGGTAACTGTCGATTAAGATTACTAAGCGGTACCTTGCACTTTCTGTACTGCGCCAAGTGGCTTACTGGCACCTCTTTTCACGCTTGTGTTTTTTGTTAATTAATGTTTTTCACTGACTTGCCTTGCCAAAATTGATACGAAGCTTTCTTTGGTCCCCCTTGAGTAGAAATTATTCTTTTGGCCTTCAAAAGTCAGAAAAGTGAAAGTTCTGAAAGAAGGGCAGTGGTTTTGCCTGTGCCGCTTGGGCCATGGGCCACTGTTACAGGACAGTTCAAGTTTGTTTCGAGAATCGTACGGTAATGAAACGACATCGCACTTGCTCCCAGCAAGAACAAAGAGCTGATAGCCTTATGAATCCAGATATTCCCGTTGGGCTGTTCTCCCAGCACTAAGTGTATTTCTACCTATCATCAGTATAATACCACTGAAAGCGCATTTCAGTCTAAAATAAATTTCGTGTTAATCTGAAGGTTTTACATTAAACTAAAGCCCCATTCACACCAAAACTTAAACATGTTTAAAAACGTGTTTGATTAAACACAGTTTTAATTTTCTTTCTTTCATAAAAGCTGCTAACTAACTTAAATGGATTGCAAATTTAGTGCAAATTACAAAACATGTTCAATTTCCTTTGGGAATCCTGTGTGAAACGCTGTGTCCAGTTTTCCAAGTCGGCTTTTAATTTTTCTAAAACTTGGTTTAATCAAACCGGTCTAGTTAGTGTGGATGAGGCATAAGTAAGTCCTGATTTTATTTTAGCTATACTATTATTTCAGTTAATGAAGGTTCGGTCAGTTGATCTTAAAAAAAAAAAAAAAATTTTGTTTTGTTTCAGCTGACGTCTAGGCGATGTTACGAAACGATATTTTTTAACATCTGAATATTAAATTTGCACACGTCATCAGTTACGAAACTAATTTGTCTCATGGCGTAAATATCTGCTCACACCCTTTCTAAATCCATCTTTGTTTCCAATAACTGCCACCAACTATTAGTAACTACAGAAAACTACTAGTAACTACCAGTAATTACCGAAAACTACTAATATAATAACTACCAGTGACTACCAGTAACTACTAGTAAATACCAAAAACTACCATTAACCACTAGTAACTACTAGCAATTACCGGAAACTACTAGTAACTACCACCAACTACTAGTAACTACCGACAACTACTAGTAACTACCAGCAACTACTAGTAACTACCAGCAACTACTAGTAACTACCGACAACTACTAGTAACTACCAGTAACTACTAATAACTACCAGTAACTACTAGTAACTACCTACAAATACCACCAACTACCAGTAACTACCGATAACTATTAGTAACTACCAGGAACTAGTAATAACTACTAGTAACTACTAGTAACTACCAGCAACTACTAGTAAGTACCGACAACTACTAGTAACTACTAGTAACTACCGATTACTACTAGTAACTACTAGCAACTACTAATAACTACCACTAACTACCAGTAACTATTAGTAATTACCGTTAACTACTAGTAACTACCGGGAACTACAAATAACTACCAGTAACTACTAGTAACTACCAGTAACTACCAGTAAATACCGACAACAACTAGCAACTACTAGTAACTACTAGTAACTACCGATATCTACTAGGAACTACTACTAACTACCAGTAACTACTAGCAACTACCGATAACTACTAGTAACTACCAGTAACTACTAATAACTACCACTAACTACCAGAAACTACTAGTAATTACCAATAAATACCACCAACTACCAGTAACTACTAGTAACTACCGAAAACTACTAGGAAATACTAGTAACTACGAGCAACTACTAGTAACTACCAGCAACTACTAGCAACTACCAGTAACTACTGTTAAATACCAGTAACTACTAGCAACTACCAGTAACTACTAGTAAATACCAATAACTACCATCAACTACTAGTAACTACTAGTAAATACCAGTAACTACTAGTAACTACCGATAACTACTAGTAACTACCAGTAACTACTAATAACTACCACTAACTACCAGTAACTACTAGTAATTACCGTTAACTACTAGTAACTACCGGGAACTACTAATTATAATAACTACCAGTAACTACTAGTAACTACCAGCAACTACTAGTAAATACTAGTAACTACCAGCAACTACTAGTAACTACCAGCAACTACTAGCAACTACCAGTAACTACTGTTAAATACCAGCAACTACTAGCAACTACCAGTAAATACTAGTAAATACCAATAACTACCGTCAACTACTAGTAACTACTAGTAAATACCAGTAACTACTATTAACTACCGGTAACTACTAGTAACTACCAGTAACTACTAATAACTACCACTAACTACCAGTAACTACTAGTAATTACCGTTAACTACTAGTAAATACCCGGAACTACTAATAACTACCAGTAACTACTAGTAACTACCAGCAACTACTAGTAAATACTAGTAACTATCAGCAACTACTAGTAACTACCAGCAACTACTAGCAACTATCAGTAACTACTGTTAAATACCAGCAACTACTAGCAACTACCAGTAACTACTAGTAAATACCAATAACTACCATCAACTACTAGTAACTACTAATAAATACCAGTAACTACTATTAACTACCGATAACTACTAGTAACTACCAGTAACTACTAATAACTACCACTAACTACCAGTAACTACTAGTAATTACCGTTAACTACTAGTAAATACCCGGAACTACTAATAACTACCAGTAACTACTAGTAACTACCAGCAACTACTAGTAAATACTAGTAACTACCAGCAACTACTAGTAACTACCAGCAACTACTAGCAACTACTAGCAACTACTAGTAAATACCAATAACTACCGATAACTACTAGTAACTACTAGTAACTACCAGCAACTACTAGTAACTACCAGTAACTACTTGTAAATACCGACAACAACTAGCAACTACTAGTAACTACCAGTAACTACCGATAACTACTAGGAACTACTAGTAACTACCAGTAACTACTAGTAACTACCGATAACTACTAGTAACTACCAGTAACTACTAATAACTACCAGTAACTACTAGTAACTACCAGCAACTACTAGCAACTACTAGTGAATACCAATAACTACCGATAACTAATAGTAACTACTAGTAACTACCAGCAACTACTAGTAACTACCTGTAACTACTAGTAATTACCAGTAAATACCACCAACTACCAGTAACTACTAGTAACTACCGATAACTACTAGTAACTACCGGGAACTACTAATAACTACCAGTAACTACTAGTAACTACTAGCAACTACTAGCAACTACTAGTAAATACCAATAACTACCGATAACTACTAGTAACTACTAGTAACTACCAGCAACTACTAGTAACTACCAGTAACTACTTGTAAATACCGACAACAAGTAGCAACTACTAGTAACTACCAGTAACTACCGATAACTACTAGAACTACTAGTAACTACCAGTAACTACTAGTAACTACCGATAACTACTAGTAACTACCAGTAACTACTAATAACTACCAGTAACTACTAGTAACTACCAGCAACTACTAGCAACTACTAGTGAATACCAATAACCACCGATAACTACTAGTAACTACTAGTAACTACCAGCAACTACTAGTAACTACCTGTAACTACTAGTAATTACCAGTAAATACCACCAACTACCAGTAACTACTAGTAACTACCGATAACTACTAGTAACTACCGGGAACTACTAATAACTACCAGTAACTACTAGTAACTACTAGCAACTACTAGCAACTACTAGTAAATACCAATAACTACCGATAACTACTAGTAACTACTAGTAACTACCAGCAACTACTAGTAACTACCAGTAACTACTTGTAAATACCGACAACAAGTAGCAACTACTAGTAACTACCAGTAACTACCGATAACTACTAGGAACTACTAGTAACTACCAGTAACTACTAGTAACTACCGATAACTACTAGTAACTACCAGTAACTACTAATAACTACCAGTAACTACTAGTAACTACCAGCAACTACTAGCAACTACTAGTGAATACCAATAACCACCGATAACTACTAGTAACTACTAGTAACTACCAGCAACTACTAGTAACTACCTGTAACTACTAGTAATTACCAGTAAATACCACCAACTACCAGTAACTACTAGTAACTACCGATAACTACTAGTAACTACCGGGAACTACTAATAACTACCAGTAACTACTAGTAACTACCAGCAACTACTAGCAACTACTAGTGAATACCAATAACTACCGATAACTACTAGTAACTACTAGTAACTACCAGCAACTACTAGTAACTACCTGTAACTACTAGTAATTACCAGTAAATACCAATTAACTACCAGTAACTACTAGTAACTACCGATAACTACTAGTAACTACTGGGAACTACTAATAACTACCAGTAACTACTAGTAACTACCAGCAACTACTAGCAACTACTAGTGAATACCAATAACTACCGATAACTACTAGTAACTACTAGTAACTACCAGCAACTACTAGTAACTACCAGTAACTACTAGTAAATACCGACAACAACTAGCAACTACTAGTAACTACTAGTAACTACCGATAACTACTAGGAACTACTACTAACTACCAGTAACTACTAGTAACTACCGATAATTACTAGTAACTACCAGTAACTACTAATAACTACCACTAACTACCAGTAACTACTAGTAATTACCAATAAATACCACCAACTACCAGTAACTACTAGTAACTACCGGGAAGTACTAATAACTACCAGTAACTACTAGTAACTACCAGCAGCTACTAGCAACTACTAGTAAATACCAATAACTACCGATAACTACCAGTAACTACTAGTAACTACCGATAACTTCTAGTAACTACCAGTAACTACTAATAACTACCACTAACTACCAGTAACTACTAGTAATTACCAATAAATACCACCAACTACCAGTAACTACTAGTAACTACCGATAACTACTAGTAACTACCGGGAACTACTAATAACTACCAGTAACTACTAGTAACTACCAGTAACTACTAGCAACTACTAATAAATACCAATAACTACCGATAACTACTAGTAACTACCAGCAACTACTAGCAACTACCAGTAACTACTAGTAAATACCAATAACTACCAGTAACTACTAATAACTACCAGTAACTACTAGTAACTACCAATAAATACCACCAACTACCAGTAACTACTAGTAACTACCGATAACTACTAGTAACTACCAGGAACTACTAATAACTACCAGTAACTACTAATAACTACTAGTAACTACTAGTAACTACCGACAACTACTAGTAACTACCAGTAACTACTAATAACTACCACTAACTACTAGTAACTACCAATAAATACCACCAACTACCAGTAACTACTAGTAACTACCGATAACTACTAGTAACTACCAGGAACTACTAATAACTACCAGTAACTACTAATAACTACTAGTAACTACTAGTAACTACTAGTAACTACCACTAGCTATTGGGGAGAAGACACAATACTACATACTACACAGAGTGTATATTACCGGTGCACTTGTGGCTTTCCACCATGAAGTACGATTTCGACCGATTTCCACAAAACAATCAATAATCTGATAGATATCAATCGGTGGATCAAATCGATTGATAACGATGATATCGAGTTTTTATCGATTAACTACGTCTGGTCTTGCTGAATCGGTAAAAAATAATAATAAAACTAACATTACTGCAATTTGATTTTAATGTGCAACGAACAGATCACGTTTTATTATAAAAATGCAAAATCACGGCACCGTTTTTGATAAAAATCAGTAGATTTGGACTGAATTTTATACACATTAAAGTGTTGAAAAATCAGTAACTAACAACTTTTAAACAAGCGAATTAATATTGGAAACTCAGTCAATCCCGATAACCCCTCATGGAACCCCCTGTGTAAACAGAATCGCGAAATGAGCAATTTTTGTCTTAAAAAGGGTAAGGGTTTCAAGATCTTAGCGTCGCACCTCTTTAGTCACCCTCTTTTGTCCAAACGTACTTCCCTTTAGTGCCCGCAAGAGCCATTAAGGCTCTTGGTGCCCGGCAGTATATAGGACGCGTCTGCCCCACGTAGGGCAGGAACGCGTGACGAACCCCTAACAACGTCTGCGTGGGAGGCTACATATCCGTATCATTGCGTAATCCTCAAATGGCCGTGAACATAAAGGATTTCTATGGGAATTCAGGTAATAGTTCAAGAAGAGAAATCTCGCTGGCATATTCAATAAGAAACACTTTACCCCAGTTACTCCTGTCATTTGTTTAGCAGGTTTATCACCAGTAGTAGTTGACACTACAGCCCGGGGGAGGGGGTACTTTAGGAATTTCTGGGTGGGGATGTGCCGCTGGGACCCTGGAACCCTTAACCTATACCAGAGCTAGTTCAGCTGAATTTTGCTACCCTATACTAGAGTAAACTCCCCAAATCCCCCCATCCTAGAGTAGCTGTTTCTCTTGTCTAGATATAATAAAACAAAAATATATTGCATATTGGCAACATACAATCCATCATTCTAGGAAAGTACAGTTTTACAGCTTATTTAAACATGATTATAAAATTTCAAGTTATCTAGACTTAATTAGAAATTCTGCTAATAGGAAAGATTTAGTGAAAATTCGTATAAGTAACCACAAACTCATGATTGAAACTGGAAGATATAATCAAACTTCCCGCAACGATAGATTCTGCCCTATTTGTAACTCTGGTATAATTGAGGACGAAACTCATTTTCTCTTCCATTGTCCAAAATACTCAATCCCAAGGGAGAAATTCTACAATCAAATCCAACAAAATTTTGTCGACTTTAATCATCTATCTTACACAGAATTAATAATTAAATTGACGAATTCACAGAATTTTTCCGTAAATTCACATTTGCTTAAATTTGTCTCATTATGTAATGATTTACGTAATAATTTGTTATCAAATCTTGCCGATGACACTTGATTGACTATAGTAATTATTGCATTGCATTATCATTGTTATGATTTGTTTGTTTGTTTGTTGTTGTTTTTTTATGTTAAAGCTTTTGCAATACTGTAACTACATAATTATAGTCACGCAAATAAAGCTTATGTTGTTGTTGTTAGATAAAATCTTCAACCAACTGATCAGTTTCCTAAAAAATGATACCCTTTTCTAGACCCAAACGTTCTGATTTATATACCCTATCCTAGAGTAAACTGCTTGAAAACCATACCCTTCATAGCGGCACATACTTATATAGCCCATATATGGCAGTACCCCCGGGCACTACAGCTGCCCCCTCTCTGTACTGATTGTCGCCGAATACTTTTCAATAGTATTGTTGTTCGTTATGTAGCTCCTTGAAATATGCCGATTCGTCAATGAAGATTTGATCACATATTCCAAGAAACGGATAGTTTTATAGTTTCGATTTAGTGACCACAATTATGCAAATAATGAAAGTGGTTTTCGAATAAAGTATGTCCTGAGATAAGTTGGTCAAGTTGGTGGGCCTTGGCTAATTTCTGTAACTCAAAATCGAGAGGGGTTGGGTACTTCCTTCTGAGGGATTCCATCTAGCCACGACCATTGACAAAATGCTCAGGTTTGGTGTTGATCGGGCTTAGGGACGGACCATTAGGAAACTTATCGGGTGATGGGGGGCGGGCGAAGTACAAAGAAGATATTCGCGCAAGGGAGAATTAAATGGAAAAAAATTCATGCACGCCAATTAACCCTAAAAAATATTCATGCTACGGCCTAAAAAAGTTCAAACAAGGAATTTGATAACAAAACAAAATTCCTACCGCTCAAAAATCCCCCCCCCCCACCCCTATAACTTTTCTAATGATCCGTCCCTTACATTGAACTAGATACAGTCATTCAAAAACTCCAAAATTTACTAAGAACTATATGGACGACCAGATAGTCCCCGTCCCCAGTGGGACGTTTTTCGAGATGTCCCTCAGCGACGAAGAGCGAGGAGAAACGTCTGCCGTTCGCAGGCTAGCTGCTCAGTTGCCCCGTCGAACAGAAACATACTCAACTGGATAGAAGGTATGTCAGAAAAAAGCAAAACTAAAAGTAACTTTGCTTTCCGAGTTTTAAGAAAAAGAAAATTACCGCTTTGCAACAGTATTTCAAACCACCAGTTTACCCTGCCGCGTTTTTTAAGCGTAGCGTATGACGACACCCACAATTTCGGAATTTCCAATTAGATCAAATTAGTCACGTTACACCAGTACACTCTTACGTTTTTTGGGGGGGACAGAGGGACTACGATTTGGGCGCAGGGGTCCATTGTGAAAATGTCCGAGATAAAAATCATACATATCTTTCACCTCTCTTCAAAATGGTAGTTGCTTGGTTATGTTTTTATTCATAGTGGACTATTGGTGGAATTTATGGTACCCGTAAATAACTACTCTGCTACACAGCCGTTTTTAGTGTCGTCACGCAACGCTCCTACCCACTAGTGGTTAGTGGGGAGGAACGTTGCGTGATGACACTAAAAACGGCTGTGTAGCAGACTAGTAAATAACCAACCAGGAAAAAGATTTCAAAGGACTTTTAGAAAGTCTAACATTTTTAATTGTAAATATCTGAAATGACCAGCACAATCCCTTCTTCGAAAGTCAAACGATCATGGAAATTAGAAAACGAGAAAATCATGACAATCATGTGTGGCTTTGTCACAGGCAGACCAAGAAAGGAAAAAAGACAAGCGCTTCCGCCTTTGTAGATGCTTTGGAAGCTTATTTCAAGTGATAAAATTTACAATGCCGTATATCTTCGTTCGCAGCTCAATGAATCCGAATGGGTCATTTTCCAATCAAACGTTTATTGATTTTGAAGTAACTGAAAACAGCCAAGCTCTGGGTACATTCCTCTCGACGTATTTTAGATCTCAACAGGTCATTGGAAACGGCAGCGGTACCCGGCTGGAAGTCATTTCACAATACACACACGGGCAGTATCACACACATGCACAGAATTATTTCCAAACGCACCGTATTTCCGATCGTCCACCGCATGTAGTGCTTAACAAGCTGGAGGGTTATGGATACAAAGTTGTAGCAGCAAACTCTCAGCGTCCTACAGGTGCTTCTGTGGATCAGTGGAATACTGGGGTGAGCTACACTGTGTGGACACTACACAAACCACTGTGATGAACTACTACATTCGATTGCATACAGCCAATACATTGAACTTTTAAACAAGTTCAACAGTTAAATGCAGGGAATTAAGGTTTAATGGCTAGCAAAAAGTAAGCTAGTGCACAAATAATACTTGTAAACTGATATCTTTTGTGACTCTATTTGTCATGAAAGAACACTCTTAGCTATAAACAGGAAATGTAGTTCTTGATAATTTTATGATGCTTAACATGAGCTTTCCACAACTGTGTCGTTTATGGTGTATGGTTTATAGGAATATTTTATCAAGTGTTTGTAAATTTAGAAGTCATAATTACCGGTAGTTGTTAAGTATTAGTTGTTTAGTATTTAACTTTATTATTCCTGTCACCAATTTCGTGTACCTTGTGGGACTATGATAGGTGTATGTGCCTAAAAATTCAGTTGTCTTCTGATATACCCCAGAAAGTTCCTTCAAAATTACCTTGCGTTTTTAACCATCATAGTAAAGACTTCAAAAGTTTTAGGAGCTGAGAATAATAAAAGTCACGACTGTAATGAAAAGAATTTAGAAGTTCAATTGTTCAATGTCTTCAGCTTTTTCCTTGTCATCATTCCTCTCAGCATCGTCTTCATCCCATAACTTTTTCCACCATGGAAGTTTAAGTCTACGCATATCTTCATTGTGACATTGCTGTGCTCTAGTTATCACAGGTGCTGATCTTGATGTAAAGGCATCAAGACTGTCTGGAGAAACCTCATGAAGCTTTGGAGCAGCTAAAAAGGAGTTGAATTCAAGTATATACCAAATATGTAACAAAAGTCTACATATTGATTTAAAAAAATGAAATGAATCATACTTTGAACTGTGGATGAAGATGAGAAAGTGAACAAGATCTTTGCAGTGAATTGAACAACCTATACCATTGAAATAGAGTCTGAAAAAATCCCGGCTTGACCGGGAATAGAACACTGATCTTTGTGAAGCTCAAGTTTACAAAATGTTAGCTTCTGTACAGAACCCCCCTCCCCTCAGGAAAAAATCAGAGGGGGAGTGGGGTCATAAACACAGGATAACAAAATGTAAGCCTTAAATTACACTTAATGCAAAGCACATAAGAATTAATAATTTTGCTCACCAAGCAGCTGATCTGCATCCACATTCAGTCTGGCCAGCAGTCCTTCTCTCCTTTGCTCTGTCTTTCGTATCTTCATGTTAGACAACATATGATTGGCAAGTAAGGAAAAAGCCTTTCAGAGAAAAAAAATCAAATTAATGGGCAAATGAAGAGATCAACACTACAGCACTTATCGCTCCACTAGCCACAGTCTTATTATGCATTTTCTTTGACAGTGTTGAGGCTAACAAGTCAAATAACAGTTGAACCTCCATTTAGTCGCCAGCTATTTCAAAAGCCAGTAATCAAAAGTCCTGATTGCAGAAATTAAATGAATTATTGTAAGTTAAATCTCTTGGCCATCCTGTCAAGAGTTCCCCTTTTGCTGTCACCTCCATTAAGTGGCCATCAAGCACTTGATACACTTAGTTTGACTTTATGAATGAAAATACAGTTTGAGATACAAGGTGACAGCTGACTGCGGACGAGTAATGCCGCTACTGCCATGTGTTTGTTTCAAATTATAAAAGTGATGATTCTGCTTAAGCCTGGTTCTCATATGCCGCCGATGCGCCTGCGACATGGCCGCCGTTAGTGCCTGGGATACTGTTCCGATATGAGAACAGAAGTGGCGGCAACATTGATCATTCCAGTCTTTACCGCCGGCATGACTGCGAAGTTGACTCGAGTTCAACTAAGCAGGCATGCCGGCAGTAAAGCTCTGTGGTGGCTCAAGTTGTTGGCGGTGCATGTTCTCATTCGTCCGAGATGTAGCCCAGGCAGTACCGGCGGCTATGTCACAGGTACATTGGTGGTATATGAGAACCAGGCTTTAACAAATGAACCTCTGGTGAGCAGCCAGTCTTCATTTAGGGGCCACTTGCCAGTACCCTGAGGATGACTGCTTAATGGAGGATGAATACAGCTTATGTAGTAGTACCTTATCATGAAGCTCTTGGAGCTCATCTTGGGTTCTGTGCTTTGGCTACAAACAAGAGCAAAAACGAAAATGTTTCAAGCCTTGAAACTGTTGTAACAGTTATTTAGAGAAATGGCCTCTTAAAAGTAAATGACACAACACTTCACAGACTATTTTAGATAAAATCTGTACATGTAAGTGTGGCCATAAAAGCTACTGAGCAGTAGTTAACTGTGGTGCAGTTTATTATACAAGAAGGTCCTATAGAACTTTTGAGTCTGTGGATGAAATCCTGGTGTCACCATTCAAATAAAAGCTACTAAGCAGTACTTTTCTGTGGGACTGCTTATTATGTTGTATAAGGTGGTTCTAACTTTTGAGTCTGAGGATATTTTTAAAAAGCAAACTGATTTTTAAAAGTGTTCTTTCATGTTACTCTCTCTGATTAGCCCACCCAATCCCACAATTTTTAACTGATAGATAATTTTCGTTTTTTGACACTATCACTTCTCTACCCTTTACTGACTGGGATTGAACACATACTGGATACTTTTGACGACGGTCAGCAATTGCATTCTGGAGTTCAGCCCTTCTTGAATCAGTCAATCCAGGAACAACAGGGTATGGTGCTTTACTATCTGCCAAGCGTTTCTGATAACGGCGAAACTAAAGAAACAATGAAAATGAAAAACAAAAATTTCAAAAATGTTAGACTAAATGATCAAGGGTTTTTTGTACCAGTTACATTTTGCATACTCTTTGTTGTAATGCCCAAGTATTGCCATTGCAATTTATAACAGAGAACAAAGATCACTCTGCCATCTCCTTGTTCAACAAAGAAGTAAGTAAAACAAAAATAAATAAAAGATGAAGACTGTTTCCTCACAGATGAAACAACTCATACATCAGGTTATTAGCAGTCTGTCTTAGGAGTGCTCCGATGTTTCCTTCAGAGGTGCCTGTGTCTCTGACAAGAAAAACATCTTTCTTGTGCGTTAACAAGGCTTAAAATTCACCATCACATTTCAATCATTGTGCATCAGCACATATGAGTTTGGATAAAATGGCGAGCCATTCGAGCCATGCAGTCCATTGAAGACTCATTAAAAGAAATACAAAAAAAAAAATCAAAAACAGTAATAATATTATTATGGAAAACATTGACTGAAAGCTAACCGTTGCAAATAAGTGTTTAACTCACTTAACCCTAGCCCTAAAATGAGTGCTTAACCCTAATCTGCAAAATGAAAGCTTAACCCTAATCAGTACAATGAGTCCTTAAAGGGACACAGTCCAGGGGCGTAGCATGACCATTTTGACAAGTACGCACATGGGTCTGATGGTTTTTTAAAAACTTAAACAAAATAACGTTTTTAATTTGCTTTTGCTTGCTTTTTAATTTACAGCCTTGTTTACAATAGAACGTGATATCAAAAAAAGCTTTTAAAATGTTCTTCTCTGAGCTAGTGCTGGAATGTTTATTAGCACAAGGAGAGGCGTCGTTTTGTTCAGAAATTTGGAGTTTATAAAAGCATCGGTTGGAATAATTGCGAATTGTGCATGCGCATGCTTGTCAGTAAGATTTGGTCCATGCTTAGTCCTTTGCTGACTTTTTGAGTTTTTCCCTTATTTCGATCATGAGCACGGGAAAGGAACAAACAATTATTGGCCGCATGTATTTATTTTCAGCTGTTCTGAATATCTCTAAAGTTTGTCATTGAAGAAAATAGTACATCTGTCTGCTAGGAGGAAATTAATTTTTCTGCAAAATTCTTGTTGATACCGCGCCATGGCCACACATGCACCTAATAGTTTGCTTGAGCTTACGTGGATTATCTTCCGGGTGGTTTGGTCCATGATTTCCAAGTTGAGCAAGATTAAAGTAGTCTTTGAAAGACTTTTTCGACATTTATAGAGAGAGAGAAAACTAAAAAATGAAAAGCTTTTGAATGGGAAAACTTTGCAGATAAATGTTAAAAGGAATGATAATTAGTCAGGGTCGATTCTTTTCTGTTCTTAAGGCAACATTTCAAGAATGTTTTAGACAGACAAGAACAAACCTGGACAATACCAAGTCAAGTCACGACACTACAAATGGTTTTTACTTATAGCAGAAAATCTTAAAAAAAAAATAAAATAAAATCCTACCAATTTCTCGAGTATGCACGTGTATTTGCATAAAGGACGCTACGCCCCTGCAGTCAGCTGGTGCACATGCGCATTAGATACCATTTCTTAGTTGATTTGCATATCACAAGACACCTGCTTGAAACAGAAAGTGAGAAGCGCATCTGGAATACTCTAAACGAACCTTGTGGAGTTGAACTAATAATATTACAAGCCAAAGTCATAATTATAGACCCTCAGCCATATCGGAGCACTCATTTTTTATATACCCATAGAGAATTTACCAATGGATTTGTCCAGGGAAAGCCAGACACCGATGAATGCTTTCAAATTCGAAGAATCCGTACTTTATAAATAGAGGTGAGAAATGACATGAAGTCTGAATTATTGTTGAAGGTTCAAGGTTGAGAAAGCTCCATTTTCTATAGTAAATATATATATTCTTTCTCCGTCGATTTTCCAAATATATATATTTTCGTAATCGAAGGCAATTTCTCCCGCCCAGTGCCTACGTGTTTCTCACCTCTTCTTTTCATGTTCCTTTGGATACTGTTTTTAACCAAATATGATAAAATAATGTCAAAGAATGAGTAAAAGTTTGCTGATAAAGAGGTCTTCAATTAAAGATCAAGGATCTAATGAAACACTAGGCAAGACTGAAGCGGATTTCTAGATGTATCCGACACGTACATTTGATTTCTGGTTGAGGTAAATGCTTTTCAAACTGGCAAAACTAGTGTCCAGGTCAGCGTGGTTCTATAGCTGACTGTGTCCCTTTAACCCTAAACAGTATAATGAGTGCTCAACTCCTAATCTGTAAATTTGCAGTTTTTACTTTATTTCTACCAATGGCTCATGTGACTTGCATGGCTCGCAGTTCATCAAGCCCAACACATATTATAGACATTCCAGACCTAGCAGTCTGTGCAGGATGTTTGTCACATGAACCTAGTTTAGTGTCCTTAGCTCCTGCAAGTCTCCTGTCGCTCAGTGGTAGAGCACCTGAACTAGTGATGGGAAGGTCTTAGGTTGTTGGGAGTATTCAGATTTTTTTCTGAGTCACTTGTGTCACTGAATCAAAGACATCTTTCTCATGTAACAGTTACCTGTCGTTGTATTGTAACTGCAGCTCTATCTCGCATAACTTCATTTCTTCGTTCATTGACCCTTTTTCTTGCCACCATTCCACGGAATGCTGCTTGAATCTTACTTGCTGCCTGGACTTGCTGGTCAGCCATGTATAAGTTAACTTCCCTGGCTGGTACACTCTCTAACATCTTCAACTGCTTCTTCATGGATGAGCGAAATTCACTGATTCTCTTCTGTTCTAGCACAAGTTTGTCTTGTTCCTGTTGCTTTTCTTTGGCTCTCCTTTGCTCTTTGTCCAGCCGTCTTTGTCTGAATTTTCTTTGAAGAAGTATGATTCCCCATTCAGCATGTTTGAGGGACCTCCGTTGCATTGAGCCACGGTAAAATGCTTGAATGACAGTAGCTGCTCGGTTTAATCTCTACAGAAAAAGCAAACATGATTATTTTTTATCTCTGGTACATGTTTTTAAGTCTAAAAGACATGTTGTATGGTCAGTTGACAAGATCAAAATTCAATTAGATAGCAAGGTCAAATATTTGCCACAAACAAAGAATTTGAACAAAAATATTCCCTTGCTTTCTTTCTTATTTCCCTTCAGACTTGCTATTAACACTTGATGAATTTTATTTACCAAAACAAGCCTATTAGAAACACAGGTGGTAATCCATACATTCAAAACCACAAACTTCAACATTCAAAAGGAGATTTTACTATTCCACTTCAGAACTTGCTATGCTGTGGATCCACTTGTAAGTAGGGGGCGAAAAGGCATCCTCCAGCTCAGAGCCTACAACCGGCGACAAAATTGTTGAGACATTGTACTCAAATAGGGTAACTGCAGAGAACAAAAGATTCCACACCCCTCCCCTCTCCCCTCCATTCAAACTTGGGGTGTTTGTTGTTTTCCGTAGGTAGCTTAAAAACATCTGCACAACATGGCATGGAGGGGATGGGGGAGGAAAAGCTTTATTTTCCCCTTTTGAAGTCAGTAAAATGCAAATGGCAGATGTTTCTCCTCACTCATCGCTGCTGAGGGACGTTTTGCGAGGAGGAACGTCTGAGACTCAGCAACAGAAATTCCATACTGATGACGCAAAATCTGTCCGGATTCCAGTCAGAAGAGCTAATTAGTCAAAGGAGTAGTTTCATTGTTTTAGCTATTGTTTACGAATGACAGACAAAAGACAAAAGGCCACAAAGGTCAAATGTAAATGTGATGAATCTCTAACAAAACAGTCAATATTTGTGGAATATAGTCTTCTCTAGAAGAGGCATTTGAGTTTTGCTGGAGCTCATTAACAGATAAATACAACACTTTACCAAAATGGACCAGGAGAAACATAAAAATTGAACAAATTTCAATTTGGAACCCAATGACTACCGGATTTATTATGTAAACATTGATTTACGTCATCAGTTTGGAATTTTTGTCACTGAGTTGCAGATGTTCCTCCTCGTGAAACGTCCTTCAGCAGTGATGAGTGAGGAAGAATGTCTACCATTCGCAGGCTACAGAAAGCCCCTTTCGGGCAAAGTGACTCAAGTAATTTGGTTGCCAATGAAGAACATGATGTGCACGTACTTTGTTCATAACTTAATAAACAGTAATGAGTGGAGGGAGTTGATAATTATACCAGTTGTTCTGCCTGAGCAATGGAGCCAGCCTCTAATAATGCCACCAGCCTCCTGACGTCATTGTCAAATCCCCTAAATTTCCATTTGCTGAGGTAAGCTTTCAAGCCCCTGAAACACACAGTATAACCAAAAACAATACTTAATTTAACTAAGTTTTAAACACTACTGCAACTGCAGGGTATAAAGAAAATCATTTTTACAGCTTGCCATTCAGGCAAGCTGAAGCTAGCATCTACTAGCCCAGATGTCATTTCAACTAGCCCCAAAATGTCTTAACTAGCAGAATTGATTTCACAGTTCTTCTGTTATCCGAATTCCTCAAAAAACATCACTTGCCCTTTGGGCAAGTTTAAAACAGAATTCACTAGCCCAATAGCAAAATTCACTAGCCCTGGGCTATCGGACACTACTTTCTTTTCACGCTGAACTGAGAAAAATATCTGAACCAGGCCACTTCTGAATGGGCTTGAAAAACTTGCTAACATCTAAATGTCATTTTTTTTGTTCTTGAGTTTCTTTGTTCTTCAATGAAAATATCAACTTCTTGATCTGTCACAGGAAGATTGAGTGTAATACTGTCGAATATACAAAAGATTTACTGTATCCTGATTAGCTGTGTATTTTTTATGGCATGATATAGACAGAGTTGATCAACAACTGACCTGTATCTCTTTGATAACAGTATTTCAATGAGAGGTGGATGAATATCAGTAGCTGTTAAGATGAGATGAATTGAAGCTCTGTTACAAAAAAGAAAACAAATACAGACACTTAGATTGGTGTTATTACAGATATCTACAGCCCTTGAAAAATGTAAAAAATAATTTAAATTATACTTTAAATTATTCTGATACAAGGTTTTTGTCTGCTGAAAATTAAAATTACTCAATTTCCTGATGGATTCTGTCTGAGAGATATACTCTGACATTGAAAAGCTACGTTGTAAATTTTCATATGCGAGTGAGTCCCAGCCAATCTGAGGAGTGAACGACGTTTCTTACACACAAGATAAATGATATCTCCACTCAGAATCACCAAATGATGTTTTTTTCACATTGTGATTTCATCATGTCATTTTAGCATATTTTTTAAAAGATTTGAAATAAAAAATTATAAGGCTGACAGAAGGAGGAATCTCTATATAGACACAAAACACATGGAAAGTGCTTTGTACGGTACGGTACTTAAGCACTCTTTGCTTTTGTATCAGGAATCTCACTTGTTTGCTGCCCTCACTTGTTTTATTTCTCATATTACGTCAACAACTTGTGCACACCATATGCACAAACTTCCCATGAAGTATTCGTTGTTTATTATAAATTTACCCTGCTGTTACATGTACCTTGCAACTGAAGAGTCTTCTGAGGCCGATATCTTAAAAACAATTTCATCCAAAATACTGTAAAGAACGCTTGGCTGCAACTTTTTCATAACACTTCTGATGGAACAAACAAGTCACAAACAAGTCCTTAATTTTAGAAAACTTGGCCCTAAAGCAACAGTACGGGCTGGTTATTTAAACAGAATTTAGCCAAAGTTTTAACCAAGTCATATTCTAATCCATTTTTACTTTGCTTAACACTTTATCTTAATACCATTAATTTATCATGAAAAGTTTCATGATAGCACGTAATAGAGTGGGTCAGATGCAAATGAGCCGTTTTCATTTTTTTTCCCATGAAGCGCTTCGGACCGTGTCCAACACCGCCTGAGAATAGACTAGAAAGGTATTTTTATTTACTACGAATCTGGAGGTCTAAATATTTGCTAAACCAGGGCCTGAGTTAACCTTTATTTAAATAACTGACCCTATACTTGTCAGACTACTTTTGTACTGTTAATAAAAATGCCTCTGTGCACTCCATATCATCTGTAGTTCCCCGGTGGATGACTGTAACCCTTCATACACTGTCTTGCGAGTATGACATAAAAAGGGAAATATGTAAACATATTTTCACCTGTTTGATTTAAAGAGATTTTCCAGGATCAACAAAATAAATAAAGATGCTTCAAGGTCTTCGGTCATGAGAATGTGTAAAAAACGTTTGGAATGCAAAACTGAAAAAAAATGAATTTTTATTAAAATGATTATCAACTACTAATACTGCTATTTCTGTGAGATCTAATTAACACTAGATAAATATAACCCAGACGTTTATTTTGTAAAAATATTTTTCCAAGACAAATTAAAACAAGTAAAAGCTGGTAGAAAAGGAAACAGTATGTTAATTTCAGCAAAATCGAGAACTGAAGTCAAAATCAATTGAGATCGAGTATTGACCTGTTAACAACTTGCCAGAGCTACCATGATCTAAGGCCCAATTTGTATGGAGAAAAGTTTTACCAGGAATGAGGGTCATCCTCTCAGCCGAGTCAACTTGGGCGAGCGTTTGTAAGGGAAAAAACTTGTCACCTTTGCCCAGGCCAAAGCAGGGCTTGCGCATGCTCTGATTATCTCATCTTGACCGAGTTGACCCAGCTTGGGCAGCCAAAGCTAGTGTTTACAATGTATATTGGAGAAACGTTTGTCCGGCTAAGAGGGTGACCCTGCCATCATGCAAAAGAGTCTCCATTCTAGAAGTGCTAGTGCTAAGTTTTACAAGGAAATGAACAAAAAGTTGGCTCGTTCAGGGTGGCTTGGGTACGTGAGTGACCCTTCTCCCTAGGACAAGTTCTCTCCATGGCCAAGGACTGTTTTCTGTCTCAGAAATAAATCCACCTTTTGTCAGCAGCGGTTACAAAGAAAGTATTTTACCGTTGGAAGTAAGGAAAACATGGTAGCTGTACAGCCACTCCAAGGAATTCATCGTCTTTCTGAAATGTTGGAAATTTGAGTTCTTCTCCCTTTCCTAAAGATACATGTAAACAAAAAGTATTAGAAGGTTTTGAGTCAATCTTAAGCCAACACCTGCCCAATATAAGCATTACAGGTAAAGATAATGTAGAGGAAACAAAGCCCAAGCTGTACATTTCAAGTCCTTCACTGCATTGCAGTCAACTCACTCTTAACGGGCACCTACAGTTTGTCCCTGTAAATGTTTTTTCATTCTCAAGACTGATCTCCATACAGTGTACAATACCATATAGAATACAGTTGAGCCTCTCTCCAATGGCCACCTTGGGGACAGAACAAAGTAGCCATCGTAGAGAGGTTGAAACAAGAGTCAATGTATGGACTGTCAGCCAAAAAAACTGGCCGTCGTAGAGAGGTGGCGGTTGTGGAGAGGTGGCCATTAGTGAAGGTTCGACTGTTGTAGAGAGAATTTGAAAAACCAAGGTTGTCATTAAGGCAGGGCTTCTGATAGGTCATGAAAAAAAAGTCAAATTTCGCAGGATTCTTCAGGACAAATTTGCAGAAAAATCAGTCGATTTCACGGGAATTTCGTGGGAATTTTCAGGGCAAACTTCGCAGAAAAGCAATCGGTAAAAACCAGCCCATTTTATGGTTATTCTTAGGGCAAATTTCACTTGAAATCGATCGGTTTTGCGCTGATCAGACCAGCGTTTTTGATGTTCTTCTAACAGAGGTCATCATTTGCACTTTCAACAACAATATGCTCCAGAAATGAACCAATGGTAAAGCCTTTAACATCATCGCTAGTGCCCAGTTTTTCGCAATGTAATCTATGCCTGTAGTTTTGGGGTATTGTTTGCAAGCACATTTTAGTGACGAAGTTTTAAGATAAATTTGCACGTTTACGGCAAGTAAATAGCCCCAATAGCTGAGATAAGTTTCAAATATGTTGTACAAACATGTATTTGGTAAGATTTCTACTCAATTTTGCCGCATTTTGTGTGTTTTGGTGAATTTCACAGAATTTTGTGGATTTACCTAAATTTCGCGGCCTGCGACCGCAGGAAATATCAGAAGCCCTGTTAAGGGCAAGGGGTCAGGGATTTCCCCTGGCTACGAGGAATGTGATCCCCAACTAATTTGATATGAAGATACAAGAAAATAAAAGAACCATAAGAAATCTCTAGCTGTTTGATTCTCTGCCTACTACATGTACTACACTGCACATTGAAATCTTTCTAAAAGCTCTGTAAAAGATCAAACATTTTCCCTTACATGTAGATGATCATTTTATTAAAACAAATTCTCATAACATTTTGTCTTGATTGTTTATTGATATTTTTGCGAAACATTGATATTTTGGGCACTCTTTGGACTTAAAAGGGTTAAAGACATAGAGGATATTACATGGCCACGTGGAGATACGAAATTTCTCTGCGAGTGTTGAAAAACATTTCACATGCGAGTGCAGCGAATGCATGAAATATTTTTTTCAACATGAGAAGAGAAATTTCGTATCTCCAAGCGACCATGTAATATTCTATTATTTTATTATATAAACACCAATGAAATGCCAAACCATTTTACTTAAATAGTTTTTTGGTCTGAATGGTGTGGTTTATTATGAAGCCATAGCAATGGTGATATTTTCACATGTGAAGATAACATGTTATTTTCACATGTAAAGATATCAAGTTTTCAAGCGAAAGCTCACTTGGTATTTCATTGGTGTTTATATAATAAAGTTGACTATGTAACAGGACACAAGGTTCCATATAAAACGATATTGACATTCTGGTGAAAAAAAAAATGTACCACTAGATTGCAGATACATATTAATCTTTGACACTCACCACTTTTGCTTTAACACTGAAGTCCAGTAATTTGGCCGCCAATGTTAGCAAGTTCTCAACCACATCAGGAAGAAACGTTTCTTCATATTCTTTAACTTCTGGTAATGTAAGCCCTACACAGCTCTGGCATAAAATGTTACCTAACTGGGAAGCAGTTTCCCATCCTCCAGAAATGCCTCCAAAATCCTGTTTAAGAGCTGAAGAAAGGAAAATTAACATCAAAAAAATAACTATTAAATTAATATAGTTATTCATAAAATGATGAAGCAAATAAAAACCAACTATTTGCCAAGTGACAAAGCTATGTTGGAAATATCATTCTGCTTCTTTAGTCAATGCTGGCACAAAAATAATCGCATGCGTCAGTACTTCCTAAAAGGGCACAGTTTGCTCTCTCTGAATGGTTTCACTCCTAATAATAGCCAATTCTCAAACAAAAACATTCAAATTTCCCAAGAAATAAATAGTACTATGCAAGTGTTCTACCACGGAGGTTTTATTTCAAAGGTAACATCAAAGGATTTCATTCACGGATTTAAAACTTAGAGACAGTAAGAAATAATCTGGCCTTAACATGGTGAAGGAGTAAAAAGTTAAGCAGCCACCTTTAGTGCAGCAAAAAAAGGCAGCTTTCGGAAGGTGGTTGCTTACCAGAAAGTCAACCTAAAAAAGGAATGGGCCATAAAGTTATCAGTGCTGTCAACTATCTCAGATAAGCTGGGAGACTCTAGATTTTGAACCATTTCTCCCGATCTGCAGATTAGCGTCTGAAATCTCCCGGATAATCTGCGAAGTTTGCCATTTCTTGTAGATTCGACTTTCTGACAATGAAATGTCAAATATTTTGCATTGTTTGAGTTATTTTACTGTTAACATCGAACGTTTCCTCACAAACTCCGGTAATGCCATTGTAATGTAAGCAATAATGTAATTGGTGGGAAGTAACCCAATTAGGTCAAACGTTACAATAACTGTAACATTTGACGTAATTATTCAAACAACATCTTTTTTGTGCATTTTTTTTTTTTCACAGATGAAGTCATGTCATCTATTGTCCCTTCCCTATCAATTCTCAATATTTGAAGACATGAGGGGTTGACAGCCCCGTGTTGTATACATTTACACCTGTAAAGTCATTTTGTTACACATAGTTATGGTGAGTCCTGGGACTCGTCTTGTGAAAAATCATGAGTCCCAGTCCAGAACCGATGTGTCCCATTTTAAAAAAATGACTACAAAATTGAAAATGCTTGGGCCTTTGTATAACCAGACAGTTAATCTGAAGACAGATCTCAAAACTCTGTATTACAGTATAATGAAATTAAAATATACATGAAGTCCTTCCATTTTAAAGTACAACAAAGGCTGATAGAAATATGCATCGTTAAACAACAGCCACAATAACATGTTAGTGTCACTTGTGAAGGTATCATGTTTTCATACGAAAGCTCACTGGGTACTTCATTGATGCTTATATAATACTTGATATTAGTAAAATCCAGCTAGTGGTCTATTATCAATGCTACATTCTGATTGGTTGAGCTAATACTAGGCTATATGTTATAACCCACTAGTAGTGAAAAGCACTGGATTTGAAAACCAAAACAACGGCGGCTGAATCACGTTTTGCTAGCTAAAGATGTTTGATCTCAATATTTTTGGCCAACTAGTTGGAATTTACTAAAACAATAAATTATTATTCCTCTCCCCCTTATGGCCTCTGATTCAATAGCCCATTCGGCCTCATGGGCTATTGACTCAGAGCCCATTCAGGCTTGAGGAATAATTGTTAATTATTACCTAAGTTGCAAACATGGATAACATCATACGTCCATAAGTCAATCCTTATTATTGTACCCAGGCTGCTTCGCGGTGGACCAAGATCAAGGATATCTGAAAAACGTGAACATTAAATTATAGTAAAATCTCATTAACAAAAGAAAAAGTAGAAGAGTTGTTTTCTAAATCTCAAGCAATTTGTCCCGCTGCATAGTAAGTCTTATATAATATTATTCTCTAATATTATTATCTTCGGCAATTCTTGAATCCCAGTTTAGAGGCCCTGTTAGGGGTAAATTCTGACAAGCGAAATGGCCTTGAACCAGCGACATGAGAGCCACTAACTGGCGACGACCGACAGACTATTGCAACGAATTAGCGAAAACGACACCAATGTCAAGACAGACCGACAGCGAATTTTGACAGAATTGTGAATGTCGTGCAGAACATTTGCGCGTACACTATTCGGTAGTAATTAGTTAATAATGATCAATAATGGCTAAAGGCAAACAGAAATACGTCTCATTTTACTGCTGTTTTGATTGTTCATTTCATTTGATTGACGTGTTCAGTGCATCACTCCCTTTGAGGACTTTGCCGCTTTGCGTATCATGGTCTTCTCCTTGCATGACCCACGTGTGCGCTCCATCGGTCTGTTAGAGAGATTTTTTTTCTTTATCGATCGCGTTCATCTTGGTGTTCCAAATGGTAAGCAAGGTATTGAAACACATCACTATCAAAGTCATTAGCGAGTTGTCGGAGTGCCGTTGACTGCATCAACGGCATGGGAAAACACAAAAACACAAAAAGGGAAAGAGAAAGCGAGTCATTATGTTCATTGAGAGATTTTCTGAAAGACGTCAACCCAGGGTTCAACAGCTTTCTCAAACTGGTCGCCACTTTGACACTTGTTGTGGAGAACTTTTTCAGCCAAATGCGCTCCAGAAATGACATGCCAACTGCCTTGGAGTTTGCATATCTATTAGCGCCCACCATTCGCGAGTCATTGAAACAACTCACTGACATTGGCTTTGTCTACTACACTTCCCCACACACTTATTGTGAAGTACCAGATGAGATGAAACTCCCGTTTCCAGACCTACCTTCTTCGTCTGTTCCATCGTCAGTAGATGACCAGAGGTTGATGAGAGACTGGAGGGGCAGCTTTGGTAAACCGGTCCGTCAACTGACCATTCAAAATCAAAGTACCAAGCACAATGTAGGTACCTTTCCATTGTTCGCATACACAACACCAGATCAGCCTCCAAGACCATTAGATTTTTCCACCACAGACGACCTCACAGCTAGAGAAACAGGAAGCGGTCAGAGGAGCCATGTTATTTGAGGCCAACAGTGTTGTGGTCGTCAAGCGCGACCACATACGTGGATACCCGAAAAGGGGACCCTTCTTTGTTGGAATTGTCGTAGCTGATGTCAGCGACAAGGAAGAGAATTCTTTTTGTGATATTGAGTTGTTTGTTTCTTCATTTGAAGACTGTCTGCTGTTTACTTTGAATGAAAGCGCACGAATCCACCGAGATGCTATCGTCAGTAAAGTGGGGGAAGAGCATTTTGAAAAAGGGTGCGATTTTGTGAAATTGACGGAGGTATCATACGAGACATTTCTTCCATAGCAAAATGACGTGGAGGACCTTTTGCCAGACAAAGAAGGCGGTGAAGAGGACAGCGACCTCGACTCTGATGATGATGAAAACCCAGCAGACGTCGTCTTTGGAGGAATACCACTTCGCACAACATCCGGGAGAACTGTCATCTGCCCAAATCGTCTGGACCTTTAGTTCATTTTTCACAGACTTCTTGTAAACGCATGTCTTTCAGATAATGAATGGTTGATAATGTCCTTCCTCCTGGGCTGTTATAGTTACGGAAAAGCACAGTCTGACAACTAAATCAGAGTTTAACTCGGAAGAAATATTAGACTCTTGCACTAAAAGAATTTTAGAAACGTTATGATAGCTCGAGTGTTTTGCCAGATTAGGCCTCGATTTCACGCCAAGCCATTTTAAAAATATCTCTACACTTGTATAGTTTACTAAATGGAATTTTATTGACTTCAATTACTATTTCAAGTAGTCTGAATGAATATCAAACGTTTATAAAGGTCTTAAAACCCTGGGCTTAAAAGTACTTAAGATAGAGGCCGTATATTCCGTTGGCGTCGTTGCAGCGAATGCGGATTATCAGACTGGCAACGAGCTAAAAAATTATTATTGAAATTCCGACAGGCGACACGAGAATGTTCCGAAATTGCGACATAGCTGGCTGTGAAATTCAGACGGGGGACACGGGCACCCCCCCTAACAGGGCCTCAGTTTAGATACGACGAGTAAAAAAGGTCAACGTACCTTTCAGCTGCAGTAAAAGAACGGGTACATTACTGTCATCAGTTTCAGCTACTTCAGCAGCGAGATGAAGAGCACGTTGGCGAGCTTGTTCTGTCTCCTCATCGCCATCCACAACATCCATCGATAAGCGATAAACTTAAGCTATTAAAATATAGATTTTCAACAAGCTCGGCTCCGAAGTTCATTGATAATTTGCAAACGAAACCTTCTCTTGTAAAACATGTTTGTATTGATAGACCTTTCCTAACGATTCTTGAGTTTGACGGGAGTTTCGCTTGTTCAACCACTAAAAAATGGTTTCATAAGACAGTCCAGAACAGTACGTTGAGTTCAAAATGTCCGCCATGTTGGATTTGCCCAAAAAGTATTATGAAGGCGGCAGTAAACGACCAATCACAGCCGTTTTACTAAAATGACCTTCAGGAATTGGCCAATTAGAGCACGTGTTAGAATACCAGAGTGTGCGCGGGAAGAGATTAAGGAACCCTTGATCGAAGTGGCGTGTTGGCCGAACTAATCGTAAAAGTTTCTATCCAGTTTTTCGAAAAATGGGTAAGAAAAAGCCAGGGAAAATTGGTATGGATGCAATCGAAGAAGAAAAGCCCTCTTTGCCAGCCACTGAGAACGGTACTACCGAAGAAGAAGAAGAATTTGTAGAATATGAGGTGGAAAAGGTCGTTGACAAGCGAATCCATAAGGGAAAGGTTGAGTACTTGCTCAAGTGGAAGGGGTACCCACCCTCGGACAACACTTGGGAGTCTGAAGATAATCTCGACTGTCAAGAGTTGGTTCAAGACTACGAAGAGAGAAGACGGCTGGAAAAGAAGCCCGTTGCTGTTAAAAAGGAAAAGAAGGAGAAGAGAAAGGAGCCGAGGTAATGTTAACGTATTTGGTCATTTTCGGCTACAGATGACCCAGAGATGTTTTTCGGTTTGTTGGTTGTTACTTTACTGTGGTGAAGCTTAACTTTGTTGATTGTCTGCGAGAAATTGTGCAGTTTGGGCTGTTTCTCTTCCTAGCTCATCATTCCCCATCAGGACTGCACAAGTGCAATTAAAATTTTTTAATTTGCATGGTTACAGGGTAATAAATCAAGCTTAAGCTTAACTGTTCAGTATGTTCATGTTGGCTCGTATTCTCAATCTTACGATTTGAGTCTTGTGATCGAATTCTATGTTTATTATAAAAGTGGACAAATTCTGAAAGCTTTGGCACTCATACTTGTGCATTTAAATGCATTATGCACATTATGCTCATGCATGGTGCAGTTGCTGCAAACCTTTCAAATTTTTACACTTTTAGTATAATTAAATTGAATGGAATTAATACCTACATGTACAAGCATTGATTTTTGCACGCACTTACTAGATTGGGTCCCCTGTGAAGTGAGGCCCATAGTGTCAAGTGCATGCAAGGATAATAAATTTGTTGAAATTTAATTTGCATTCTGCATTATCCTGTTTCAAATCCCATTCTAACTCTTTGTTTTGACACTCACATAAGCAGACATTCCCATAGGCGACCATAGACATTTTTAGTTTTTTTTAGCTTTGTTTTTTAAAGGGACACACACAGTCAGCTGTCAGGGGCACCCTATGAGAATATAGTTCAAAACCACTTAAACAAAGCATTGTGAAACGTATTTTAAAAGTAGACAGCCAGGATGTAAAAGTAGGTGGCATGATAATTGAGTGCTGTAGGCAATTTCAGACTTTCACATCCTCTTTTTCCCCTTTTCCCCTCTTTTACAGGGGTTTCGACAAAAATTGAAGTAGCCAGCAGGTCTGAATAGAGTAACTGACTTTATCAACAAGGGGCTGTTGTTCCCCTTTTTCAAGTGGGAGGGGGAAGGGAGTGGTCTGAGTGCATTCTGCCCAAAAAAATTTTGAAATTTTAAACCCCTCTGGTGGCTGCCGCTCTCAGGGTTGTCATGGTTACCTTCCAAGATCGCTTGTGGCCCCCTTCTGCTTCTTCAGGCACCTTCCCCACACCCATTTATTGTTGATGGGTTTAAAGCCCTAAAATATGATTTTCAGTGTTCTGGCATGGCTGTCATTAAGAGCCGGGGGCCGGGGATTTCCCCCGGCTACTATGAGTGTGGCCCCCGCCTATTTTTAATGGAAAATAAAGGAAAATTGGAACCAAAAGAAACCCCTAGGTGTTTGATTCCCCGCCTACTTGTTGTATTTACCCAGCAACTCGAAATCTTAACGACAACCCTGGTTCTGGGGACTAAATTTGAGGACAAAAGAGCATGTTTTTATGAAGCTTTCAACTTATCAGTCACACAATCAGCAGCGTGCAAAGAAAGTAGTGTCCGATAGCCCTGGGCTAGTGGATTTTGCTACCGGGCTAGCAAAATCTGTTTTTAACTTGCCCAACATGCAAGTGATGTTCTTTGAGGAATTCGAATAACAGAAGAAGTGTGAAATCAATTCTGCTCGACGAAAAGCTTTTGGGGCTAGTTGAAATGACATCTGGGCTAGTAAATGCTAGCTTCAGCTTGCCCGAATGGCAAGCTGTAAAAATGATTTTCTTTGCACCCTGATCAGTCCCTAAAAGCAATGAACAAATTAATGATGAAAATTAAATCATGTACTTTTGCACGTGAACAAATTGTGTGTAAAGTAACTTGTGAAAAATGACTGAAATATGGCATTCACATGACTAAAGCATAACGGAAAACCAGTGGGCCTTTAAGAAAACACATTATAATAAATATTGATTACGTTTTCATTCAGATTTTAGGATATATTTTTGTTTACAACCTTATTCAAACTAGTTGCTTCTTCTTTCTAGAAAAAAGGAGCCATCCTCTATGGGTGTCCGTATAAAGCAGGGTAAATTTTGAGAAAATGTAAGGGCTTTCTTTCCCCAGGGACAAAGCAAGCTGTCCGTAATGGTGAAGTGCCCTTACAACTGACAGTCCATAGACTGTAGCTGGGCAAGCTTCCATAGGTGGCCATGTAACCCACACATCTCTTGAGGCCACTTATACAGTGAAAGTATTCACCTGGCTATAAAGCTATTACAAGAACCTCCACACCTGAAAGAGATCAAAGATGCCATTTTGAATAGGCTCATGCAAAACTAGCCTGCGAAAACATCCGTTTCTCCTCGCTCTTCGCCGCTGGGGACGTTTCGCACAGAGGAACGTCTGCGGCTCAGCGACAGAAATTCCATACTGATGACGTAAAATCTGTCCAGAATCCGGTCAGAAGTGCTGATCGGTCGACAGAGTAGTTACTTTGTTTTAGCTATTGTTTACGAATGACAGACAAGAGACAAAAGGCCATAAAGGTCAAATGTAAACGTGAAGAATCTTTAACAAAGCAGTCAATATTTGTGGCATATAGTCTTCTCTAGAAGAAGCATTTGAGTTTCGCTGGAGCTTGTTGGCAGATGAACAGAACACTTTACCAAAATCGACCAGGAGACATGTAAAATTGGACAAATTTATATTTGGAACCCCATAGCTACAGGATTTATTATGTAAACATTGATTTGTGTCATCAGTATGGAATTTCTGTCGCTGGGTCGCGGACGTTCCTCTGCGCGAAACGTCCCCAGCAGAGAAGAGGGAGGAGAAACAGATGTTTTCGCAGGCTAATGCAAAACACCCATGTGATTTTTTTTAGTGATAAAAGTGAAAGTAAAACCAAGAAAAGAAAAGTATCAGATTCCACAACCAACAGTGAAACATCAATCGATCCTCCACTTCCAAATGAAACTGGCGACGATGATGATCCCAGCAAAGAAGATGATGTTAACCCACTTGAAGAAGGTTGGGAAGCATCGTCCATTCTCGGAGCGACAGATGTTGAAGGACAAGTTCATTTTCTCATACAATGGTAAATAGACATTTTTATTGTATATGGCTGAATCCTCGAACAGGCAAGGTGAAGTGAATCCTGCCCCTTGATTGGCTACCCAAGTGCCATCTGACCCACTTGGGATTCCCTGCATTGGTCCCACAAAGAAGTTATCTTTTTGGCCATATTATAAATCCTTTGTTGACCAAGCTTGTTCAGTCAAGATGGCTGGATATTGGCCTTGTTCTTTCTTGCATTTTCATAGTGGAGCTCCACACGTACACAACCACACACGAGTGGAGCCCCATACCTAAGAAAATTTGGTTATCTATCCCTCCAAAAATTTTGGTGATCACGTGACCATACACCTGTCCACCCATCCGCAACACAGAGAAACCAATGTGAAATGTCAAATTTTCTAGCTAGTGTGGGAGCCTGTTACCTCTGTTTAACTTGATAATAGACATCCATATTATGATCAATTGACAGGTGTCACAACATGGTATCCGCTGACCAGTGTCACATGACCGTATTGCGGGGTTAGGTGCCAACTCATTGAGGTCACGTGAAGTTTTCCACTGACCAGTTGTTAGCTTTTAATTGATTGTGGCCTCAAGTTTGTTTTTCAGTCATATGGTTTTCCCATAAAGTTGAAATACAGATTTGTGGTCTTTTCAATAGTTTAAGGTATCGTGCAGGGTAAAAACCCATCATTTTTCGAAATTTTTAATTTTTAGATGATTAAATAGAGCTCATCAAGAGCTTTCTTTAAAAAAAAAAATTCCAGAAAAAAATGTTTTTTCTGTGCAGACTTATGGAGCGCAAAAGTTTTTTCTATGCTAATTATTTTAATTGATCGTTGACAAGTCCTGTCATACTTGATACGCATGCCGCTGTTCAACCAAGCTAATCACGCAATTTGACAGAAATCGTGGTCTACAAGTATAGTGCTCACTGTTTTTCCCTGGATTTTGGAAGTGAATGTCTCCAAAGAAGAAAAAAGAGCTTGTCCGTTTTCGTCCTTGACTCCAAGACGAAAGAAGACGACAAAATCGTTTTGCAAAGCGTGGGTTTCGAAATTAGCAGAGAGTGACAAGGGCTCCTACTACAATCAAGAAAAATGGCTAAAAGATGACAAAGCTTCTGAAAAACCCATTGAAACTACCGCGAAATCGAGTTTGGCGAGTGGAGCGAGCTTTTTAGGTCGCGAAGCGGCCAAGCAAGCGACAAATTCGCGACCGGTCCTGCGCCATGTAAAAATTGGACGAAGGACTTTTTTGAAAGTCTATTGTAGTGGGAGAGCAGCTTCAAGAAAAACTCCAGGAAGCGGTTTGTTGTCGATTTTTCCAGGGAAGTGTCGAACTTTTAGAAAATGTATCGAGTAAAAGTTGGCTTGGTTAAAAATGAAAACTGCCCATCGCAAATAACTAAAGATGCTTTCTCGACAACAGAAGGATCGAACAGAGCAGAGCGTTCGAAATAAATTGTTCATCTGTTGTTGGGTTTCGTTTGTAACCTTTTCCTGCTGTGTCACTATTGTTGTCCCTTTTCTGGTATGCATCAACATTGACAGCTTTGGTGTTATAATCGGTTATAATCTCGTCACGGGCAATACGCCGCCAAAAATCTTTTTCCCCTGTTTTCTCGAAATGAAAATCAGAGCAAGTTGAGGGTACGTTTTAAACTCCAAGTCGGCAACCCATGAACCAATTTGGCTGAAATTGGGCCAACTTACTGTCGGATAGTTTTTCTAAAAAACGGTGTCTGCGAATTTTGATTTCTTTTTTCGTTTTCGAGTAAGAGTATTTTTTTCACAGGTAGTGCTAACGATTTGCTATCCCTAACTTCAATTGCTTATAACAAAAGAACAAAACCACTTGACAAAAATCTGAGACACGGTTTTTTAGTCAAACGTGTTAAGAAGCGAATGCAATCTTAATTGGCTTCTTCCGTTTATTTTTGGCTGGCCTGGACTTAAATTTACAGCGACACCCACTTTCACAAAAAGCTTCTCATTTCTGAATCGCGTTAATATTTTGATTTTTTAAAAGGAATAAGCAATAATCTGGAACTATTAAGCTTTCAGAAAATGTACGGTTTATGGGGGTATTTATGAAAAGCAAAAGCGCTAGCGCCGATCAACGCGGGGAGGGTGCTTAAGGGTGGATGATACCTTAAAGTCCATTGTCTGTAGTAAATTTAAAGCGCATTAACGGGAGCTTCGCTTTTAGCTATGGCTAAATCTATATGCTTGTGCTAATTTTTCTCTTTTAGGAAAGGTACAGATAGAGCAGACTTAATCCCCTCCGCCACAGCTAATGTCAGGTGGCCACAAATAGTTATCAAGTTTTATGAAGAACGTGTCACATGGACCCAGAACAATGACAATGATGGAGACAGCTGAGGGAAGTTTCACCATCTTTTAACTCTGCTTTGTGACGCCTGTTTCGAGAGGGAGAAAAAAAACTATTGTCTGGGAAACATGTTTTACATGTCAGTGCATGTAGCTTGTCATGTAAAGAAGTACCACTTGAAAATACATGTAGCTGTACACACTGTATCAGGCACATGCAACAACTTACTACTTTGCTTCTGTCTTCCCTCAGTTTTGTTTTATTGCTTTTTAACCACTACCTTCATTGTGCCTAACCAGCAGTTTTGAAATACGCATCAGAGATTGTAGTCTGGCAATACAGCTGTTTCTCTTCACTCCTCACCACTAGGCAAGTTTTGTAACTCCTTGTGAAATGTCCCTAGCAGCGAGGAGTGGTGGGATATGGTTGTTTTTGCAGTCTACAGCGATTGTTACATGTAGCTACTTCATGGCAGTGATGTGTTCTGCCCCCTGGCAACCTGCTTTTGTCCTCGGGCAACAGAAATCATAGTTTTACACAAATATAATGTTTGGCATCCTGGACTTCAAGAGTATGTTTAGGACTTTCTGTCAGAATTAAAAGTGAAATGAAAATAAAGACACGGTTTGAAGTCAAACATATGTCTGCACACTGCTAGTGTCTGCCCTCTTAACACTCTGGTTAGCTGGACACCTTTTATTTTCCTTACCAACTTTTTTTATAGCATCTCACTGATAATTATTCATTGCTTTGGTTCATTACTCCCTCCTTGTACTTTGTTAGGGGTGGCCTTAGTATCTACTGATTTTATGTTTTTACCAGGAAGAATAAGGTTCAGTCAAATTGATGTTTATCTATGCACTATGCAGATACAGACTTAGCTTTTTTATGGTTTGGCATAAATATATTTCTACTTGTAGTAACATACTTAAAATGTATACCTGAAAATTTGGTCGGCACATGATGTCTTCCAAAAGAAGAGCGAGATTCAACATCACTTTAATTGAATAATTCTCAGCAGTTCTTAAGGCTACTCTATAACATTTTAGTAATGGTCAACTTTTAACTTAGCCCCGGTTCGGATGCCAAACCTAACATGAACTGAATTCACTGATTTTGATATTTGGGCTCAGGTGAAGAATGGTGTCTGACATTTATTTTCAGCTCACAAAGAAACTACACTGACACAGCGGGATGGAACTTCTTGCAGTTTGTTTGTGTTGCATTTTGTATTTCGCTAGCAAAAGAAAAAGGCCCATAAATATTTTAGGTTTTATAATCATTTCTAAGGTAGTGATGTCAATTATAACTCAGGTGCATTGTTAAGTGAACACACCATATGAACATTTTGTGTTTTGAAAATTAATTACAGTGTGACCAAGAACCATGAACACCTGAAATACGACTTGCCATCTTTTTTATTGTTATCTTGTAATAAAGTTCAGAATGTTTGCGTAAAATTGAGCAATAATTGAGCTAATGAAATTCAAATAGATAACTTAAAACAAAACTATGGTAAAACGTTTTGTTTTTTCTAACCAAAGAAATCTACTTTTTACCTTGCAACATCATTTTAGGCAAAATTTGACCTTTTCGATTCTTTTGATTTTGATTAAGCCCAACTAATAACTAACATTCAATTTGCAGTTTTGGCATGTGAAGTCCTCAAACTTGATTGGCTTAAAAACAATAAACATTCCGGGCATTTTGTGTGTTTACAGTTTTTCTGGTCGCACTGTAAAAAGCACTGTCTAAATTCTAGACAGGAAATTAATTTCCAGCTGTATCAGTGGATTTTCTTTATAAACCAAAACAAAAGATTTTTTTATCAGACTCTGTGAGGTGTGATTGCTAGAAAGAATCCTTAGCATTATTTGGGGTGTCTTATAAACTACACTGACGTTGATGGGCTGAAGTTTTGATTATGGCCTCTCGAGTGGTTGCATGTGTGTTTTGTTTGGCAAAAATATTCTATGTACAGCTGATTCACTTTCCTATTAAGTAATGGTCCAGATAAGAAGGAAAGAACCAAAATGCAATGAACACGTCAGAATGCAAAAAGGTGCTATCTTTAATTTTGTCTCTACTACACTTCTGATTGGTTTAAACATCAAATTTTACGAAATCTTCGCCAAGCAGCCGGGAGATGTATATTAATCCCTTGTTTTCTAACCAACTTCCTTATAACAAAATCTCTTCTGAGTCAAAGTAACACAGAAATCCTACGTGAGGAACATGTGAAATTGTAAACTTTTCTTGGCTATTGTTTTCAACTCTTATGATTGGTTGAAATCTTTAACACAAAAAAACACCCTTTAAAAATGGAGTTTGAAAATATTTTATTTTGTAGACTGCCATTTTGTAGGTTTATGCATTCTCTGTGTAAAAATGAGAACATTCTTATGTGAGAAAAGCATATTGTCCCATAACAAAAGAAATTGTTTCCCTACTTACCGGGATCATTACTTAAAGAACTTCCTTGCCATCAAACTAAATAAATTGTAACACCTGAAATATCTCAGGAGTGTTTATTGTGCTGACCAATCGCAGTAAAGGTGAAGATACAGTGAAACCAAAAACTAATTAAGTGAACGTTGTTGCCTGCAATTTCACGCCAGATAGCTCTTTTCCATCACAACACTATTTAAAACTTTCCAGAAACATTTTTTATGGTCACGGTTTTCCACGTTTCTCAATAAAAATTTTCTTTTAGTCAGCTTAGAGATACTGTTTATCTGGCTTATGACAGGACAATTTAAGTGGACACTATACAAACTAACATTAATGTTCCTGAACTTGTGTGTAATTGAAGCTAGTGGTCCTAAACTGAAAATATTAATTGACTGTAATGCTGCAATACCCAATAGCTTGTACTTAAGATATAACTTTGAGGATAAGGGGTCTTGAGAGATACATTGTGAAATTGGAAAGTTCATTATTTTTACTTTCTGATTTCGTTACAGTTCTGTTTTTTTGTTGTTTACTTGCGATAAGCAGAAATAATTATGGTGTATTCAGGTGTTACTTTTATTTTGAAACTTTTCATTTTCCCATGTCTTAAGCATTGTGGCTGTACCTGAATGCCTTCTGCTTAGTAAAAATCAGGATAATTTATCATGGGGCTGTGTTTGAAATGACTCCCAAGGAAAAGCATGTGTAAAAAGACATGATGGCTTGTTGATTGACCCCAGTTCAATTTTATTAACATTGCCATAAAATGGTGATGACTTGCTTTTATTTTTCTTTATACCATTAGCCAAAAATTAGATAAAATAAGAGAGTTTGCATATTTTGAAAAGTTGGGTTTTTGATTTCAAAAATTGAATGAACCTTTTTAAGTTAAAAGATGGCTTTAGCCTTAACATGCATTGCAAGCTGATCCTATTTTGCCATTAGCCAAAAATTAGATAAAATAAGAGAGTGCGAAAAGTTGGGTTTTTGATTTCAAAAGGGAATGAACCTTTTAAGTTACTAGCTCTTCACTCACCCAAATAGGAGAGCTTGCTCACAGGCTATACTAGCTCACACATGTACAACTCTTAAATGGGACAACACTGTGAATGAGTAAAAATTACCAGTATATGAGAAGAAAGAGGGTGATGTAAATCAGTCATTTTGGGAGTGCAAAATACAGCGGTCACTGAATCTGCGGAATGTTTTGTGAAAAGATCTAAATGTTTAGACCCAAGTCAAAATTATAAGGATTTGTATGGAGTCATCAGAGCATAACTGGGCTAATATCTCAGAGACAATTTGACCCACAATGCTAGTTTTCGGCAAATAGGCGTCTTGGACGTTGTTCTTTCAGTATATCTTGACAAATCCCATAATTTCTCAAATTTGATAATTTTTTTATGTTGTCACACTTTAGTACTCTATTAGATTCAGCAGTCTAATTGCCTTTTTTCAAATTAAGTGGTTGCAGAAAAGCTGCATCCTAGTGGCTGATGACTCTCTTTCTTTCCTGCCCTACCCCCTGCTCTTGTTATTGCTGCAGGCCACAAATATTTACAATGTGATGATGAAGCAATCAGCTCTCAAGAGATCTAAAATGTGGAGACCTTTTTTAAATTAACCCGCCTGCCCCAATAAGCACAAATTGACACAGTCCCCAAATCTGAAATCTAACATGAGATACAGTGTGCATACTACCAAAATTCACCTTGATCGCTGTAATGAAGCTGTAATGATGAAATGATCTTTGTCAGTGAAGAAATTTATGCAAAAATACCCCAGATACCACACTATGAATAACAAAATCAAATTCTTAGGAAAAGGGGCAAAATTCCATGCTCAAGCACAGAAAACCTCAAAGGTCGATTTTATCCGGAGAATTAAGTGACCCATATAGGAGATCAGAGGCCTGTTTTTCAAAAGTTCTGGAAACTTTTCAGGCCCAAATGCAAATTTTAAAATCAAAACCTGTAGAATAGTAGCATAGTTCCTGGCTCACAAACTAGCCAGCGTGGCATTAAAAGGCGTTAACAGGGGAAGGGAAGGGAGAATTTGGGCGCACAAGAGCGCGTGGTACTCACAAACCAGTCAACCTTTCTTTGTTAACTGTTAGTTTCATTGTATCATTCTCAAAATTTTTGAAACTTAAACCTTGCATGCAAACATGACAAACACAAAACCGCTTTCCGTGCCGAAAAGTATTGAGGACTTTCTAGAAATGGGCCCCAGGACCGCATCTGGGATACTCCCAGATAATCTGGGCGAGTTGGCATATATGAAATAAACACCCGATCTTGGTATACATTTAACAACACACTAAAATATTTTCCCTCTCAAGGTTCATTTTTAATAACATTTAAGGCCAGTAAAAACACGTTGTAAGTGTAAGTGTTGTAAGTGTTTCCCCCGAGCTCATCGAGAAAGTTTTTTTAGGCTCTCACTCAAACTTTCACACAATAACTTGATTGGAAATGCTTGCTAAACAGGCAAGTAAAAACATACATGTATAACCAGAAACAAAATTACATAAATTTTTTATTAGTTCTTTTTCTATTGAGCAACAAAAAGGTTAGTCATAGCTGTAGTAAATATATACAGATAAATTTTATTCCAGTACGCTCCCTGATAGACTGCCATTGACATCCAACATCACATGTCATCTAACAATCTTTTCTTCATCCCGTGAGGTCCTTAAATTTCACAGCAGAGTAGCCGGCAACTATTGTCTGTAGTCTTAAGCCCAAAGAAGACTGAAAATTTAAAATGCAGAGTATAAATGAAACATATTATTAATGTAATTGCATATATTGTTACTGTTTTCAAGACAGAAACCTTCATTGGAACTAAAGAGTAGCTCTCTCTGTCGTGAAGACAGATGTTGACTGTCAAGTTTACTTCAGCTATAACCAGTAAGTCTAAATTATGGGGAAAACATGTTATTGTTTTTAAAACCTAATAATATGAAATAAAGGTAAATAAGCTGTCAAGAAAACTTCCCTTATGCATCAGCTTAAAATCCCACCGCATTGGAATGAATGAATTCAACATGACACAGTGACCATTGACATCCTCTTGGTGTCCTGCTCACTTTGCCAAACAAAGACTCACGTGCAGGGTATTAAATGCAGTCCGTCAACAAGTTCCAAGAGGTGTTAAAATAACTACATTTTCCAGGGTCAAAGAACATTTTTTCGCTTTCAATGACGATGGCAACTTCATGTTTTTTTGCTGTTGTTTGCAGAGTTCAAAATAAAATCACAGCTTTCATTTTTTTGTCACGGCTTATTTTTTCCTGACTGTCTTTTTAGGTGTTTGTTCAAGTGTAAAATGCAACTTTGTTTATTAGACAAATCATCCCGCTTCTTTACTCACAAACCGGGTGGAGAACCCCGGTTTGACCTTGCTATTGCTTATCGTTTTGAATTAATAATCATCACTATTATGCAACAGTACAACCTTGACTCTCTATCAGCTCTATGGGCAATAAGGGAGCAAAAGTTTTTGTTGATCTCTGCTCACAATAGGGAGCTTAAGCAACTGCGATGATGACGACTTCAAAAAACAATAGATTTAATGATCAAAACAACAGCTCTACACGTGCATCACACTTTTTAGTACATTTCTTTGACGTCCACTGCACTACTACGACTCCTAATTTGTCGTTTTATGGAGGACATGGACATATGATGACAAATTTTTCTTCCTCTTTTTGAACTTAAGAATTCAACTCCAGGAAAAGTCGCCTGCATTTGACATATTGAATGGGTCCAGATAGATGCGATTAAGTTTGAAACAATGCAAATTCATTTTTTAGCGACATTTTCACTGCCGTCATTGTCGTTGTTGCTTAAGGTCGCTAATGATTTATCACCTCTTGTTACTGATAAGTTGCATTTTAGTATCATGTGAGTCACCGTTTTGCCATGTGACAAGGTTTCAACCATAGCTATGTCATGGTAAATTCTCTTTTACAACATTTTATCAGGAAAACAAACTGCGACATGACTTCACTTACAGGGATGGGATTGTGTGGCTAAAGAGTAAAATAAAAGTTGAACGTTGCAGTTAAGCCAAGTTAAGCCAAGTTAAGTCTGCTACGGAATTGTGACAGTAGGGGTATTTTAACCTGGAAATTCAAGCTTTGTTTGGTCAGGCTTTTCATTAATTATTCTAGTAGCAAGAGAAAGGTATAACGTTACAGGAGAATATTTTGAAAGAGGCTCCACGTCTAAGCAGAAAATAGTCTTAGCCTACTGAACGTTTGCCAGAGAATTCTTACTAGTAAACTGCAAATTCCCCGATCGCAATCCCTGATGCCTAATGAACACCCCGTTGGTGGGCTGTCCAGATTCAATGTGTTTGTTCTAGCTCTCTCTTTAAGGTTGGAAACAAGGGAGTGCATAGGAACAATCGCTAAAATCGCATTGGATCAGGAAAATAACCACACAAAAAGCAAGAACACACCAGATAAAGCAAGGGATTTTTTGTTGAGAACTTCTGCTAAAAAATATCTTGTTGAATCTATAACCAGGATTCACAGGTAAATTCTTTATGTTCACAGCTATTTTGAGATTAGGCGATATTGTATCACACCAGCAGCCCATAGCCTGCCCTCCTCCTACTCTCATACTGCGCTTGGTTGGCCTGTGGTATTCCTCTGCACATGTAAATGCAACTACAACATGAATTTTCCGAACGCAGTGTCTCTTGTAGGCGTAAACACACGACAAAAATTCCTTTTTCTTTTTGGACGCGGACGCTAACGATTAACAGTGCTAGTCGATTTGTCTCGCATAAATTATACCATTGCAATACTCAATAATCCCCTCGCTCGCTCATCACAAATCTTCCGAAAAAAAGGGCTGCTTACCTCAGCAATGTTGGCTCGGGCATTCCGGGTTCACCTCCTTGTTTTAATCCTAAAAAAGTAGCAGCAAAAGATAAACATTAAAATTTTAAATGCAGTTTGGACACATCCACCGAAAAATTCGCATCTCGAGCAAGCACGTGCGATAGGAAAAGTTTTCCTACCTAGATAGATTATAAGTGGAATGAAACCCCAATGAAATGCTGTTTTACTAATTTTCAACACTTTTTGGATACGCTTTTTGGTCTCCTTTTTCATTGTTCTCGTCGGTAGGCAAGAAAAAAGTTAAACCCAAACTTCTTGATTCTGTGTAAAAGTGGCACCCCAAGATGGTGGTTAATGCATGACCGTGGAGGCCTGGGACATCACTGCAGGTAATCAGTACCCAGAATTTACCCAGAAATCGTTGTGATCCACCTGTGGAACGCTCCCTCTGTTAGATAAGTGCTTTGTTAGGCGCGAAAAGAAGTCTAGGAAGACGCCTCGCGAAATTATCCAGGTGGGTGAAAGTTTAATTCCTTCGTTGGCTCTGTAGAAGCATTATGGAAGGTCTTATCTAAATGGTATATAATAAATCAGAGATTGAAGTATCAGGGACGTCAGTACCGCCACGGTTGGCTTCTTCCGCTTTCTCACCTGTCACAAGCATTCAGGGTTTTGAAGAAGACGGCTGAATTGTCAAATTATAAAAGCAGCCAGTCCAGGGATATTTTATTTTAAAAACGTCACCCGTAAAGAAATGCCAAGCAGAGTAGCCGGCTGATACTAACCAAGCCGGCGGCGATTTTCGCCGGTAGCCGGCTATTTTTGACAACCGTGATAAGCATCCTCTCCTCCTCTCCCTTTCTCATAAATACACTGAATATAAGTCATTTCTCTAAATCATGCCAGTTGTGATTCAGGCATGTTTTAGCGAAGATAGTTTCTTCTGTCTGGCGCGTGAACACCGTTTTCCTCCCGAGTTATCAAGAACTTGACAGGATCCCCGCTGGCTCCTGCTCTTAATCAAAAATCGTGGTGGTGAAAGTGCAGAGATGTTATCCTAATTCTAAGCAAATTATCGAATTTGTGGACAACTTTGAGAGACTAAATTTTAAAGCCCCAGGGTTCCCTTGTCAAGTCAACATGGATCGCCCGAGATTATGAGAGAAATGTCGTAAGTGTCGGTAATTGTTACTCATAGTTCGCACTGTCTCGAGCTACCAGTGATCGGTTTAAAGAGGGTCTGTATGTGGTGAACTGACAACTGACAAATGGCTAAAACTTCACTGACTGATAACTGACAAGTCCCCTAAAATTTAACTGACAACTGACATTTGCCTTGGGTTTTACTGTCAACTGACCAAGGACCTGATTGTCCTTTGTTTTCTACAAAACCTATTGTTAAGGCTTAGATGATTTAGATACGGTCTTTCTTAGTCTTTCTTACGATTTAGTCCCAACTATTCTGAAGGTATAGATTTTGATTGGCTTAATGGTTGGAAATGTTGGACCCTCGCCAGCAAAAACGTTTGTGTGGAGGAGAAACACAAGATTTGGGAAATGGAGGGCTTTCAATCGCAAACTGATAAAAATTATGGTGCTATTGCATCAGTTTTCGAATTTAATGTTTAATTTCCATTATGTGTGCCTTTTTAGCTAAATTTTGGATCAAAAATAAGCAAATAAGTTTCGTAGTTAATTATTAATAATAATTTAAATGACAACTGACAAAAAGCCTAAAATTTAACTGACAACTGACCAATGGCCAAAATGTTAACTGACAACTGACATTTGTACGCCCCCGTCCAGAAACTACTGGTCAACGAACCAGTCCGTTTTGTTTTGTTTCATATTATCTACAAAGTAGTGAAACGTCCGTCTTGAGTGTATACAACAACAGCTTTCCGTGAGTTTCCGTGCCCGTTAATTATCTGAACTTTCGAGAAACCGGCCCCAGGGTAACAAAAACTGCGCAACTGAACTTTGATCGATTTTGTACGAGGCTGGATCGAGCCTATAGCAACTCCTACAGCCGCTTCCGGAGCGAGGAGACACGCAGATTTTCATGCTTTCCTCGTCAGTCGTCACTGAAATAAAGGTCGCAGAACATATCTTTTTGCATCCTAAAAAACTTTGATGCGGTTTGCTAACTTTAATTATGCGCTCTTCGTCACGGCTATAAATTTCTTTGTGGTTCAGTACGTTGTGTTTCAATTTTATCTTTTCTTTTGTTTTGAGGTATGTTAATGTATGATAATGAGTTTGAAACAAGGAACATAAAATTTAAACCAATAATGAAATTGAACCACAACATATATATCATCCTCGCAGTTGTAATTGACAGTGATCAAGAAAGAATTAGCCTGCGAGTGAAAGCTCTCCTATTTGAGCGAGCCTCGCTAGAACGCGCGAGCGAGGGGTCGAGGAGACCAAACTTGTCACACAGACGAAGCGGGTGCCAGCTTGGCCTGTTATCAATCAACTTTGTTTTCCGGAACGTCATTTTTCAGCCAATGGTATTTCCTTTCGTCTCAGCGAAGTACAAATGAAATTTCATGAGAGATCGTTGCAAGCTCTCTTTTCCTCTGCCCCTCGCGGCTTCGCCACTCACTCGCGCGTTTTCGCGAGACTCGCTTCGCTCGCCCAAATAGGAGAGCTTGCTCGCAGGCTAAGAAAGAATCTATTATTCTCTCTTGCAGTGATGCGTGAAATCCGTTAGGGAAAGCAATAAGCCAATTTCGAATTATTGTATACACCGCATTTTTTCGAATGAGCGCCCTCGTTCCAATAAGCGCCTAGCCTGTTCACAGACCCTCTGTTTCCTCTTCAAAGTCCGTCGAGACAGCTGGTGATAGAAAATAAACAGCAGGCGATTTATTGACCGCCAGCGCAAGGGGGTAGTGTGGGGGAAGAAGAAAATAGACGCGCTCGTTCCCGCGCTAGACTGCGAGCAGTCCCTCAGGATGGTCACGCGAGCGAGGAAATCAAGCGAAGCGAGCGAAAGCCGAGGGAAAGCTGGGAAGGAGGCGGGAAAGGAGGACGGGAAAATTCTTCCCGCCTCTCTCCAGTTTCCCTCTCAGCCAATTCGCTCTCTCCAGTCCTGCCGAGCTTAGACTCTACTGACTGAGGAGGGACTGCTCGCAGTCTATTCCCGCGCGCTCGCCGAGGTTTTTGAAAAGATCGAAAAGATAAATATAAAACGTCTCTGTTTACAGGTTAATAAGCACCCTCCCCCGAATAAGGGCAAGGCCCTAGGCCAAAATATCAGACAAGCGCCCCTCTCGAATAAGCGCCTTACCCTCCTTCCTCACCCCCTCAATTTCTTAAATACTGTGAAACTCATAAAAGCGTCACCGTCAGAAATATTTCTGGAATGTGATTGTGTTGTACAGAAAAGGCCAATAAGGCTTGACAAAACTAAATTGCAATGCTCGCCCTGTGCCCTTAACTTTCGATGTAATTCGTCGTGTTTCCCAACTAACTTTCCTGGAATATTTCAGTTGTTAAAGCTTTTTGTATTTGAAATGCAGTAACATGAACTTTTATCCCCTTTTTGGCTTAAAGGTAATTTGTGCCGGCCCAAGCTTCAAGCATGTGACAAATTGGAGAACTGAGAGATCAATGAGTATCTTACAAGATTAAACCAGATTACCGACAACAAACGATATCAGAGACAGGCTAGGACTTGGCAAATATGAGTACTGAGTTATCTGCAAAATTTAAAGCAATGCAGGTAGAGAGAAACGCCCCTGAAGACCAGCAGTTCAAGGAATGGGAAAATCATCCTTGCTGTGTCCTACTTCCTTCACCTGAGAAGCTGGATACATCGATGAACTCACCAGGCTCAGATGTTACAGATACTTTAGAGGACTTTCAACGGATTAAAAACTGGGCAAAGGAGAATAAATTGCTGAACACAGGGTTTTCTGATTACCGTGAAAGACAAAACAAACAGCTTGAAAAGTGTAGTTTTAAAAGCCTTGTCCAGCTCGCATTCAGCAGAGCATTTGTAGCAATGCGTAACACAAGAAACCCTGATCTAGAGGAGTTGGTGTTTTGGTTTTACACAGGTCATGGGCTTGGCAAGGAAACCGCCAAAACACTGGAATATTTGTCAACCCCTTGCCTTAGCAATGTTGATTTAAATCATAATTATCATGATGATTCAATCGTTTTTGATTTTGTACAGAAAGAGAGGAAAGTACATGGAGGGGAGCTCTGCCTACACATGGGTGGCTTTTGTGATCTTTATGGCCTGTTGAAGCCATGGATTGCAGCTGTGAAATCAGAGTCAATAAATGCCCCGGGTCAAAAGAAAAATAAGCACCTTGTCGTCATCCTAGATAGCTGCCATTCAGGGATAATTGCACAGGAGTTGAAAGAGTTTGAGAAGCAAGTCCGAAAGAAAGATGAATCTTTTTTGAAAGAAAATAGCGTGACCATTCAAGCTGCCTGTGGCCCTAATGAGCGCACGTTCGGAGGTTATTTCACTCCTCCCTTTCTCTACCTGAATGATCCACAGAATAAGAAGCTTTTGGAACAGTTGAGGAAAAGTTGGAAACAAATGACAGATGAAAAGAAAGATGAATACAGATCGATTGAACTCCCATCTCCAATGGTGGTAACTACGAGGGCTTCGCTACAGGGCACTGAAGAGCAAGCTCAGCCTCCCCCACTCAGGGTGGTACAGTGGACCCTCAGCCTCCCCCTGCTCAGGGTGGTACACTGAACCCTCAGCCTCCCCCCGCTCAGGGTGGTGCAGTGAACCCTCAGCCTCCCCCCGCTCAGGGTGATACAGTGGACCCTCAGCCTCCCCTCGCTCAGGTTGGTACAGTGGACCCTCAGCCTCCCCCGCTCAGGGTGGTACAGTAGACCCTCAGCCTCCCCCCGCTCAGGGTGGTACAGTGGACCCTCAGCCTCCCCCCGCTCAGGGTGATACAGTGGACCCTCAGCCTCAGAATGTTACAATGGAACTCAATGTTCAGAATTTCAAGTTGACACTCTTCCCAGATGCTGGATTCTTCAAGTTCTGTTCCCTTAAGGTCTTTCAATATCAACAAGCCAAGGCGTTAGAGCCTTTAGTGAAAGAAAGAGCACTATACCGTGCCACAGTGGAAGCATTTATGAAGTCCAAAAGATTTAAAGTTATTGACTACAAGCTCAACACATACACAGGAACTGGTCCAGCTGACAAAAACGCTGGATCTCCGAAAGGCCTGTTCCTGCTGGATGATCCCCACAACCCTGGCTTTGCTGTCTGTGCACACGTTCATTTCAAAGCAGGAAGTACAGATGTCAATGACGTTCAAAGAATCAATCTCGTACACCACAAGAGACCGCCCGGTAGATGCATTGAGTACGTGGAAGATGGTGGAAAGTTTCGGGTTAATATAGACAAAACTGCTGATGCTGCTCGTGAATTGGTAAAAGCTTGTCGTCAGTATGTAGATACAAATGAACCAGGCAGGTGGAATAATGTCAGCCAATGGAACATGACAGGGAGTCAACTTAGTGTCAATGGAAAATTTAGATTGAACGAACGTTCTGCTTGGGAACAAAGCTATTTGACGTCCATTAAAAAGTATAAACTTCCTGAAAAGGTTCCTACCAACTCCTGGCACCGTTTTCCGCTTTTATCATCATTTTTTGTTTTGTTTGCCATCTCCTTTCATTTTTACTTAAACATGCGTGCTTAATATTGGAACCATTTTTGGAGCTCACACTGAGCCTCTTAAGGTCGTGTGACCAGCCACGCCTATAATTATGCAAAATTTAGTATTTTCAGATTACCCCATGAAAGTGACTGTTGAAGCTCCCGTTTATTTTTCCATAGTGTTACGTTTAAAGTCAAATAAGTCAAATTAAACGGGGAATCGCAAAATATTTTATTCTTATCAGGAGGTGGGCTCCTGTCTTATGTAATTATCACATGTTCACTCCTCGACCCAGTCCCACTCTCAAACTAAGGGACCGGGCATAATTTAAGTTGGAGGTGGGGGGGGGTGGAGGAGAAATCGTTTTTTATCCCAAATTATTTCTAGCCCCCTACTCAATAGCATCCATGTTTTTTAGGTACCCCGCTTCAATCATGTTAAATGGTTTAAGCCCCCCCTTTCTTACATAAGAACCAAATGGTAATACAGTCGACTCTCTCTTAACGGACACCCCTATGAGACGGACACCTCTGTGTAAAACGGACCCTTAGAGTTGGTCCCCGCCTTTCTTTACTCCTTTTATTTGACTCCCTATAAGACGGACACTTAGTGCCGGTCCCAAAAGTGTCCGTCTTAGAGAGAGTTGACTGTAACAAAAAACATTTTCGTTACTTTACCGTTAACGTTCTTACTCACTGTCACTTCCGAATGTGCCAACTACATAATCGTCATCTGAGAGTGATTCGTCATCTTGCTCATTATTTCGCAGTACATGGCAGTTAAATGGCAGCTGATGGTTTTTATTTTGTCACTTTTTTTTACCATACTTGCCAAGTCCATGGGCAGTTAGATATTTCTCAAGTTCTTTGACAGTTAGTTGATGCAATGTTCCTTTTAGAGACATGTCTAGCCAGTCATACTCATTGTATGTTTTTAGGTCTCGTTTGCTTTTGTCGGTTTGCCTCTGAGAGCCTCTCAAATAGCTTATAGAGCAAGGATATATCAGTGATTGTGTTATAATTGAGATAAGACAAGGCATCGAAAGGTTAGAGGCCGACAGGACCGCTTCAAGGAAGAAAGAAGGTAGGCAGCCAAAGCTTTCTGCTTTTTATATGAGCAGTACATGCTCTACAGTCAACTCTCTCTAAGACAGACACCTTTGAGACCGGCACTAAGAGTCCGTCTTAGAGAGGTGTCCGTCTTATAGAGAGTCAAATAAAATGAGTAAAGGAAGGCAGGGACAAACTCTAAGTGTCCGTTTTACATGGGTGTCCGTCTTATAGAGGTGTCCGTTAAGAGAGAGTCGACTGTAATAGCAAAAAACTTGACAGTGACACAGACAGTGAGTCCACATCAACCTCATCTACAAATAATGATTCCTTTAATACTCAAGCATCATGCTGCTCAGTTTGGATGCTACTTAACGGACACTTGAAGACCCCCCACCCCAAGGTCATCTGTTGGCATTTTAAGGCCCCCCATACTCCATCCAAAAAATTGAAGGCCCCCCAATTTCTCCTCCACCCCCCTTCCAACTTAAATTATGACTGGTCCCTTAAACTAGATCATCCCCTTAAAAATTTCAAGAGACCCATTCTTAATTCACCCGAGAAACAGTAGGCATTGTTTAGTTTAGTTCAGTTTTCTGTTTGCATTTTAGAATTTTTATGATGACTGTGATTGATAGAATCCCTAGTCAAATCACTATGGACATCGAATCTTGGTTCCCCAGGGGTCCCGGAGCTAACAAAACATTCCTTCCTCTGCTTATTATCGCGTAGCAAGAAGTTAAGCTAAAACACATCTCAAGTTAACGAAAGTTAAGTGGGTGTTCACACGAGAGATTTTGTTAGCCTGCACAGCAAGCATTTCTGTGCGGTTTCGGAGCAAAGAACGAGGAAAGAGAGTCAAAGACTGCGCGAAATTTTTAATTCATTTTTTTTTTTTTGGCTCTCGTTCCATTTTTTCGCGTGGCCGAAACCGAAACTCCCTCGTTCTTTCTTTACTCCGAAACCAAACGGAAACGCTTGCCACGCAGGCTAATGAGTTGCTTGCTCGCTGGTGGAAAATGTTTCCTAGAAAGGACGAACTACAGTAAAAACCCGCGAGTAAGAACCTGAAAATTAAGAACCTGTTAGCCTAAAATTTGCCATTTATATCCCCTATAAACAAGAACCTGTTTAGCCTAGAAAATGAAAAACAGGTTCTTATTTTTTAAAATCATGTTATTGAAATGCATCTGCAAAACTGTGCAAGAATCCTGTTTGGAGAATTAGGAACTTGGCATTACTGTACAAATAGAAGTGCTAATTTATTGATGTAATAAAAAAATAAAGTACAAAAGGTTAATATCGTTGTATCGCATTTTGAAATTGACCAATAGGCTGATTACCATCTTGCTTTGTAGCTTGTTTTTTTATTTAATTTTTTTTTTTACAGAAATAAGAACCTATTTAAGAACCTAAATAGCCTAAAATTGTGTTGACTTCCATTTAAATAAGAACCTGTTTAGGCTAACTCCAGAAAATGTAGGTTCTTACTTGCGGGTTTTTACTGTATTCGTGGTCCAGTCAACTTATGAATGAGCTGTGATATAACCCCTTATAAAAGATAGTGAGCCGAACTAAAATGACGTATAGACTTTACATAGAATGTAGTGCAGCGTTTCCCCAGATTGAATTGATTATCAATGGGGTTTTCATTGTGTAAACTTTGTTTTATTCTGATATATTTCCTTGAATATTCTAGGGTAGCGTAATAATTATTTTATTCATCTTTGATGGGTATATTATACTTCAGAAATATTTTTTATGAGTTAGGAGTAATAGTGTGATTGTACCACTTACATAGTTCTATTGATGCTGTGCATCTTTTTAAGGAACACTACAAGCGTCATAATACGATATTTATAGATTTAAATGTAAACTGAGCCAACTTAAGTTTTCAAACTTAACGATTACTGTTCCTTAGAGTACGTTTCCTTGTGGGAGAATGCATGCAGGATCAAATTATTTAACTGTAACGTTTTACATAGGTTACATCCAAAAAATGAAAAAAATTCGGGAAATGAATTATTCAGCGTACCAGTATTAATGACAAAAAGCAGCGAGGACATATGGCATCAGACCTCAAATATTAACAGAAAACCCGCTTTCCAGGTGGGAATCCTAAACTGTCGGATTTCTAGATTTGACCTTGAGTCGACTCTACTCGACCAGTATGGATTCTTCAGATTCAAAATCCATTTTGGGGTTATTCAGTAGCGAAGCACAAAGGCCGTTTTTGGATTTATGTATCCGTATCAGGATTTACTTGGAAAAGAAACGTACCCGAGCACATGACAACTGTTGGACAGTTTCAATCATTGCAAGTCTTAGCTAAGCGTTTTTGATCGATATGCAGTACGAAGCTTTGTAACTTAATTGGCTTAGTTTGTTCGTCTCCAAAAGAGAGTCCGAGGTATCGGAATAAAATCTACTTGGAACAGGATCTATTTAATTACTTCTGTCTTTATCTCTTTCTTTGATGATTTAAAGAAATCTATTAAGAAGCCGAGGTTAACGATGAACGATGCCTTTTACTCCCAGCAGGTATTTTAGAATCCTCTAAGCTTCGTAATGCCCCCTAGGGGCACTCCCTTTTTTGTCCTAAGGGGTATTCACTTCTCCACTGGAAAGGGTATTGTTATCAGGGTTCTGAGTCTTAACACGTTATACAGTTTTATACTATTTAGCGTCTTGAACACGTTGCCTTTTTGAAACAAAGCCTTTAAAGGAATATGAAGGTTGGCGGTTTGTGGTCTACATTTGTGGTACCCGGATATATTATATTATTTCTTTCCAATAGTTGAAAAAAATACTGTATGCGAAAGAAAATGAATCAAGGTCATAAAGTCATAGCCGACTCTTTGTTCATCATTTCAGAACAATTTAATTGGCTGTAGAATAGCGGGCTGGATTATGTTACAGCATGATTTGTAGTGCTATTAGGTACAAACTATACCGCGAGTGAAATTGTTATACGTAATTCGCTATGGCTCTTACTTTCAGCAAATGTACTCGATAACTGTTTGAAAAATCAATAAACTTATTCTGTTTTTAAGAACAGAACAGACCTATTTCCCACATGAGGTCCGTTAGTCAAATACGCTGCGAACAAAGTCAATTCATATCGAGAAAAAAATAACTCTGCTCGGCGAGCCAAAGTTAAGTGGCTCTGTGAAGAGCAATTTCGCTCGCCTTTGCTGCTTCAGTTTTAAGGAAAATGTAGCGACGAGTTTATGAAGAAGTTTTTTGTAAATTTTGTTGCAGTTTTTGTAATCGTTATACAGCGATTTCTGTAGGCCGAGTGTGTAATAAACGAACTCATAGTCTTGGCTCTGTCTTTGTTCGCTCTTGCGCGCAGAGTCGCCGCTGGTTTACACGCGCAAAATGTCGCCTCCGGGAACGGATTAATCGGGCTTTACAAAGCGCCTCTGGCGTAACAACCGTATTAGTTATTGCATCTTTTCAGCTACAGTTATATCTTCTTTATTCTCCACAACGAATGCAACAACATTTTTATTTTGCAAAAAAGTGCGGGGGGAAGGGCAAGTTCCCCCAAGCCCAGGCTCCTGCAGCGCGTTCCCTGACTTTAAGGTATAACATTCTTGGAACTTTTACTTACTAAGAGATATCTGTTCTAATAATCACAGGGAAAATGAATAACAAGACCCTCCTAACAGGGCCTATATTCATTGACGCTACCAAATTTATATTGCTCAGTGTCTTCACTCTTATAGAGACGACTTGCTCAGAATTTGTTGAAAATCACTGCCTAAGGGTTCAAAAAGTCCACTTCCGGTTGACGTGCGTCGCTCAAAATCGTTGTTGCTCCCCAAATGTCTAATGACAACTAGTACTGCTTTGTGCAACGGTTTTCTTTTACACTGAAAAATAGTTATACACCCGAAACGTGGATTTGAACCGTGAAAAGCGAAAGCTAGTGAGGTTTCCTAATTGTTAAGGAATCATGACTAGTTTTCTTCCTTTTTGTCTGTATGG